AGACCTGTTAAAGAAGAGGATGATAAGAAAGATGAAGAGTTCTTTCACACCACGCGGTGATAAGAAACGACAAGACCACCATGAAGGTTCGTGTAGTTTTCAACGCCTCTGAGAAAAACAAAAAGGGAGTTTCTCTCAATGATACTTTAATGGTTGAACCAACGCTGCAAGAGATGACACATTTTTTAGATGGAGAGTACACGCTATTAGTATTGTGGCGGACATAATTAAAATGTACTGCCAAGTCAGAGTAGCAGATGAGGATGCTATATTTCAGAGGATATTTTGGCGAGAAAGCCCCGAAAAACCACTTAAGGATTATGAATTGGTAACAGTAACCTTTGGAACAGCTTCTGCACCTTATCAGGCAGTTAGATCACTCCATCAGGTTGCATATGATGAAGGAGATAAGTACCCACTTGCGGCTGATAGAGTTTTAAAATATTTTTATACGCATGATTTGATGATGGGAAGTAATAGTGTCGAAGAGGGAGTGGAAATGTGTAAACAAATGATAGATTTATTAGGAAAGGGAGGATTTGCCTTGCAGAAATGGAATAGTAACAATCAGCAACTATTAGATAGAATAAGTTCAATATATGCAAGTGAAGTAGTACGGAAAACAGGTCAAATAAACATAAAAAATGAGTACATTGACAATCAAAACAAAGGGAATTTAGTAGTTAAGGGAAAATAAATAGATAATAAGAATATAGAAATTAAGCTAGATAGTACTATAAAAATTTTGGGACTTACCTGGAACCGCCACGAAGACTCCTTTCAGTACTCGGTAAATCTTACACCGCTGACGACCGCACATGTAACAAAAAGACTAATAATATCAGATATAGCTCGTTGTTCGACCCATTAGGATGGTTAGCTCCTAGTGTGGTATTAGCAAAGATGTTCATACAAAAATTATGGCTCGCAGGTGTAAGTTGGGATGAAGAATTAACTACCGATTTAACCCCCATGGCTCTGACAGCGCGCGACATGTTATACTCCCGTTCGCTCGGGACCTTAATGGCGGGAAAATTAAGGGAAAATAAATAGATAATAAGAATATAGAAATTAAGCTAGATAGTACTATAAAAATTTTGGGACTTACCTGGAACCGCCACGAAGACTCCTTTCAGCACTCGGTAAATCTTACACCGCTGACGACCGCACATGTAACAAAAAGACTAATAATATCAGATATAGCTCGTTGTTCGACCCATTAGGATGGTTAGCTCCTAGTGTGGTATTAGCAAAGATGTTCATACAAAAATTATGGCTCGCAGGTGTAAGTTGGGATGAAGAATTAACTACCGATTTAACCCCCATGGCTCTGACAGCGCGCGACATGTTATACTCCCGTTCGCTCGGGACCTTAATGGCGGGAAAATTTGTAAGTTAGATAATTTTTTGCTATATTGCAAATTTTGCTATATTTTCACTTTGAGACAATATTTATGGATAAAACTTACAGGATTTCCTGTAGAATATATAAACCATCGAATAAAATTATTTTTGGTTGCTAGAAATTGTAATAAAATAGATAAATTACCCTGTATAGCATAGTAGTAGTATATACTTCAATTTTAGTGACAAAATTACTACAAATTTGAATTCTACACTTTTTTTTTTTTTGGAGAAATTTATATGAAAATGTTTGGAAATATGTATATTTTTATGTTTTATATGTTTCCATTCGTTACTCATACCAAAATATTAAAATATTAAAAAAAAACAATAATAATATTTTATCTGTGTGACATTTAGAACAATATTTCAAAAATAATTATGTGTGAATTTGAAATAAATACAACGTCAAGTTATTTTAAATATGTAAGAAAACTATTTTTACTTACATTTTACACTAAAAATAAATGAGAATTTGAAAAATAACACATTTATGACCCAACCGCCAAAATGGGCCTTCCAGATTTTGAAGTACTTTTGGCAATTTACTTTTCACTTTTTATACCACAAATTATATATCTACGTGTTCACTATATTACAAGGAATATAAAAAAGTATAATACTTTCGTTTTTAGTCCAGACACAAATATAAAATTCTATAAAAAAGACGGAGCACCTTCATCAAAACGACACGTGGAACGCCGAAAGTTCAGAGTATTTCTTTTTTTTTTCTAAGAAACATTGCCAGGTTATGGTTTAAAATAAAAGAGCATATCTTTGTCTTTGATACTATTATCTATTGCATATTGTCTTTGGTTTTATTTTAAAGGAAAAAATAGTTTTTTCATAAGGCAGTACTTCTGATCCGACCTGATCTAATTCGACCCGTACCAGAGCCGATGTAAGATAGGTATTGTATGATCTGATTAGATCCGTAGCTGAGTGAACGGTATCAGAGTGGAGTACTTACCGCGAAGAGTTGTCATTACTCACCAAAGTTCAGGTACCTCGTTGGCTTGGTACAAGTTCATCAGATGACCTTGAATTGCATGGTTTTAGTGACGCCTCTAAAGCAGCGTACTTAGCCGTCGTTTACTTAAGAATAATTGATGTCTCAGGCAAAATTCATCTGTCGTTGTTAGTGGCTAAAACAAGAGTAGCTCCCATCAAACAAATTAGTATTCCTCGATTGGAGTTATGTGGTGCTTTACTTTTATCTAAGTTATTGACAGAGATAGCAGAGGTTTTAAATATTTCAAAGGAAAAGATCTTTGCATGGACTGATTCTACAGTAGTGCTATCGTGGCTTAACAGTCACCCTAGCAGGTGGAAAACATTCGTAGCCAACAGGACTTCGAAAATTTTGGGCGCTTTGAATTCGTCACAATGGTTTCATGTGCCGACCAAAGAGAACCCAGCTGACTGTGCCTCAAGGGGAATACTACCCAGTTTATAAGTCGGTAATGAGTTATGGTTTTCAGGACCATCATTTCTGAAAAACAAATTAATTGAGTACAAGAGGCCAAAGGATTTAAAAACTAATTTATAACAAACTATAAAGGCGCACACAACTGTAGTTCCAGAGCATGTGTTTTTCGAAAATTATTCTAGTCTGCGAAAATTAGTAAGAGTTATTGCGTATTGTCTTAGAATTTTAAAACGGGAAAAACACGACAGTAAATATTTGAAAGATCACGAAATAGAAGCAGCATTACAAACTTGTATAATGAAAACACAAATGGATTAATTCACAATAGAATACCAACAATTAAAGGAAAAAGGGTATTTGAATTTAAAAACAAGTAAACTAATATCACTCTGTCCTTTTCTCGATAAAAATGATATCATGCGAATTCGTGGATGACTTGAGAAGTCAGAACTAGATGACCAAGTAAAAAATCCGATAGTCCTACCACATTCAAGTCATTTGACTTATCTTTTAGTCGCAGATGCGCATGAGAAGACACTGCATGGTGGTCCTCAGTTAATGGCAAATTATTTAAGGTCAGCCTATTGGATAATAGGTGCTAGATCTCTAGTTCAACAATATGTTCGCAAATGTGTAACTTGTACAAAACAGAGCGCTAAATTGTGGAGCGACAACGCCTCCAATTTTGTAGGTGCCTCCAAAGAATTGCAACAGTTGGCATCTATTCAGCCAGCCATAGCAGAATATCTGGAAGCAAACAACACCCAATGGCATTTTATTCCGCCGCATGCTCCTAATTTCGGTGGTCTTTGGGAAGCGGGTATAAAATCCACCACAAGTTTCACATTAAAAGGGTTATTGGTGACTCTGCCCTCATGTACGAAGAAATTACCACATTCCTCAATCAAGATGAAGCTTGTCTAAATTCGAGGCCAATAAGCGTCATCAACTTTACTGATCCTGGTGTGCCCCTGCCTTTAACTCCTGGACATTTCTTAATAGGAGAACCGATAGTTGTACCAGATAAGGACTACAAGCGTAGGTTATTTAACTAGGTGGCAATTTGTGCAAAGGATGCTACAGTCTTTTTTGAAACGATGGTCCCAGGAGTATTTGTCAAAGCTCATGAATAGGTACAAATGGGCGTCACAAGTTCCGGAACCTAACATTGGGGACATTGTTCTGATTAAAGAAGATAATTTGCCGCCAAGTCGTTGGTTATTGGGTCGAGTTATAGAGAAACACCCCGGTGATGATAACGTTACCCGTGTGGTCACATTGCGCACGAAAACATCAGTTATTAAAAGGCCAACATCAAAATTATGTATTTAACCTATAGCAGATCCATGAATTGTTTACTTTTTATGTCAAATTTATGTAAAATATTATTATATTAAATGTTTACCTACTTTTCCATTTACGATAACATGTATAAGTTAAGTTTAGAATTACTACCTCTTAGTTTACGAAGTTAATTTGTTATTAAGTACTCAGTACAAATTTTAGATGTAAGTACAATTTAGAAGGACATTTAGTTAAGTTTTTTTAGAAGGCCATTCCGTCACTAAATGTCCTTGGTGGGCGGTATGTTTATGATATATATACTTAAACGCCAGTATATTCCAAATTTATGAAGAAAACATATTTTTGAATTTTAAAAAAGATTTACTTCTTTTTTTGAGAAATGACGTTGACGTTGTTATGTCAATTTTTATTATAAAAGGCACTGAAAATATAATTAAAAATATAGACCAAATTAGATCATACACTGTTGCGGATCGTTTTATTTGCCAACAACCCTTCTAGTGTATCAGCAGAACAACTACATAGGTCAACTAGTTAAGCTAGTAAACATGGAGGATAATTCATCAATTTTATGGTCCTTACTGAAACATACCTTGAACAAACATTGTCCTTATAAACCAAATGATTATCATGCAAATTTTTACGGATCAAATTAGTTTATTATTTAAATTAATAAAATGAGCTAAATGCTGTAATTCGAGTTTGTTCTAGGTAATTTAATATGTTCTTTTAAATGAGAGAGGTATTTATTAAAACAAAAATTTACTTTATGCAGTTTATTTCAAAACAACTTCACCAAATTATTAATATCAAAAAGAATATCAATACACGCTATTTATGAAATTAAGAAGCGTTAGTTTCATCAATTCGCAAACACATCGGCGTTAAGCAGGTAAGTGTCACAGAGATTTTTCTTTTCAAAGGCCTCCAATATTTCGGTATTAAGATGGCTGTTGATGACAGCGGAGCAACGCAAATCTTCAGTTGTATACGCTAAAGGAGCACGCAATTGGTATATACTAATAGGTTGCTGTGAATGACTTTGCAAGGTAAGCGCTTCGGGATTGCCTGCGGATGACGCCGCTCGTATTAATATTAATTTAGATCGTAGCGCTCGTACTTTTAAGTCGTAGCACAACACCTGCTTGATTCTACCATATGCAGATTCTATAAGTTCCTGCATATACTGTACAGAGTGTGACACTCTGCCTAAGATGAAACGAAGACATTCTTCAACCTTTTCTTGCCAAGTTGGTACACGGCATAGAGCAATTGCTAATTCATCTGTGCTAGCACCACCTACCATTAACTTGACAATATGTTTTGCGACTGCAATCTGTAATGCTTCATCAGAGTTATACTCCTTAAGTCGTTCCTTTATAGTGCTTTGGATTTCTTCTGGAGATTCACCGACGAAAAATACGGTCCCGGTTAAACCTGGAGTTATAAAAAAAATTAGCGTCTATAACATTTGCAATAATTGACATAAACAATTTGATATTTGGTTAATGCAATAAGTTATATGCACTAATCTAGTACAAGAGTAGGTACAAGTAAAATAATAAAAAACAACTGAAATTAACGATAAAGGAATGAAATCATGATTCTGTTCCTATTTATCGTAAATAACAATTATTACCGTGATCTTCTAAAATAGCAGCCATTTCTAATGCTACTAAAGATCCGCTTTCGTAACCCAATAGATAAAAGTTTTCTTTCAATGGAGCCTTCTTTAGTAATATCTGTAAGCAGACGATTTATCGGTCAATATAATATTAGTTTTAAAAAGAGTTAAAATACTAAGCGTTATAAGTACTCATATACGAATAATTAAAAAGAAAAATGAAATCCTATTTATGGAGTCTATGTACGAATTTAAGCCAATATTACCTAAAAACATTAGAATACTCAGTATTGACCTTTTTTATGCTAACTTCTCTTGATTTTAATGTTGGTTGATTATAATATTATTAATAGTGTTTTCCAGACCGAATTTTGATGATAGCGATCAGTTCAATAGAAATTAAAAAAATGCGTGCGCAAAAGCAGATGAAGTCTCTATTCCCTCACTCTCATAATCCACTGGGACGGAAATGCAATACAACTCTAGGGTGGTCAGGCGAAGGTCTAACGGTTTTACTTTCCAAGGTACTTGCGTGAAACACTGCCTACTTCATGATTCTAAACTGCTACTGAGAATTTCTTACAGACAGTAAAACCAAATAATTGATTTTTGCCTGACACTTCGCTAACGCACAAAATACTAAAATAGCAGATTGATTACTTTGAGAATACTTTGAACGAAAGAACATTATATCTTTTCACTATTCTGTTTGACGAACGATTGAGGTCAAGGACAACGCAATAACCAATATGGGGATATCAAGAAATACATGTAAGCTAGCGCAATTTCGAAAAGGCCTATGTTCAACACTGGACTTTAAAAGATTGTTAAAGATAATATTAAGAAGAAAAATATTATACTATCAATTTAAGAATATAACTATAAAATCCCACTGATGAACATGAAGACAGGTTTTGCTTAGTGCTTGCCGCGTGACAGCTAGCGTTTGGCGTGTACAAGTATTAGGCTCGTTCTCTTTTGTACTAATTGTCGTCAGTTTTAAAAAATACGAAAATACCCAGTATGTACTTATTTTTTAAAAGAGTACTAGCCATTCTCTTAACACTGCTAATACCCTCTTTAACCATTCCAACTAAATTTAAAATGCTTGTGCGAGGTTGGTTCACAACAATAGTCGAATGGCGGATCCGAACCCACGACTTTTGAGTTTCGCAGTGCGTATCCTTAACCGTTAAGCTAATAATGCCTTGAATTTTGCAAATAAATTATTGTTATAACGTTATTCATAAATATATAAGACACGAGATTGATTAAATGATTTTTACACATTAACAGTTTTTCAAATTTTATATTGGAAATTACCTCGGCATATCGCTGAGCTAGATTGGATATAGTTTCATCAGAGCGATCAAGACCTGGCTGCAATATTATAGCAGGCACCTTCAGGCGTTCACACAGAATACGGAAACGTACATGATGTCCTTCCAAGCCAGGTATAATACACAAGTATGTCTGACTAACATCAAGTTCGTCATCACGCTAAAATAAGGAAATAAATAAATAAGCATTAATAAATAGAGGATCAAGCCCTCGAAGCAACACAAGAACGATAGCCGTTGCTACCACTGAAATTATTTTTATTTCCTCACCATATCAGAACTATTCGCAAGGGTTGGCAAAAACACCATTTCAGTAGTCGCAAGCAGTTCATCGAGATCAACATGGGAATAAAATGTATCTAAGTCTTTTGTGTCCTCAAATTCCATATCATTTATCGTTTCATCTATTTCCCGTATTCTGTAAAAACATGTTAACTATTTAATTATTTACACACAAACATAATGCATGTTGCATATAAACGTTTAAATTACAGTCAACAATTATAAATTAAAATAAAACGTACTTTTGAATTGTCAATTCGGATACTGCTTCTTCTGATATAGAAATGTTATGAACATCACTAAGATAGGTAGAAATCATTTTAGATCTATCAACTTGAAAGTCTAAATCTGATAAAGTAGCTGTTTCCGCCACATCAGCAGGTACTTCAATCCCTAAACAATTTCAACATAAAAAGTTTAAATGAGGGTTTTTATTTTTTAATAAATGTAAAAAAAAAACTAAATATTACCAGCTACATTTGCGATTTTGTCTAAAAGAGTATGAGATTGCATCGGGCGAACTCGAGCAAATATTATAGGTTCATGGTACCGCAACGCACGTTCAAATGTGTTGATTGCATCTACTTCTGATATCATTTCATTAGTAGACAGATCTTCAATGACACCCATCTAAGTAATAAAAAAGCAAGTTATATGAAATAATTTTAATATTCATTAGCCATTCAATGCACGAGCTAACTGAGTTTTATTCTAATCAACACGACTGACATTATTAAACGCAATTTTAAGTGCTAATTTACTACATGCCGGAGGTTAACGTTAAACAACATCAGAAAATCTGCATACCTGAGATGTTAAAAGTAATTATAGGAAATGTGAGATCTCCCAACACATGTTGATCAGCACAGTGGACGCTTATTTGCAGAAAGCTTTCAGAAATGAGATACTTAGGACGTAATTATTTAGCTTTTTGAGGAAAATTTGTATCAAATATTTATAAGTTTTGTGCGTAATAAAGCCATGCTACAGCTATATTATAGTTCTAGAACGAATGGCTTGGGCCAGGATTAAGGGTAAAGATCGCACTCTCACAGAATCCCAATGTACATTAGCGGCTAAATGCTGCTGTGCTTCTTATGTTAAGTGTTGAAACGTGGCGCACAATCTTATTCCTCCGGGCTGGCAATGCATCTAAATTTTGTTTCTTAGCCGAAGATAGATGTGGATGTCTATGGGCCACAGAACCTAGTTACCATCAGGTGTACTGTGCGCTCACTCGTCACCCCTATTTTTAAAAAATATCCATACCTTATGGTACGGATCTATTCCGCGGTATTAGCCTTTCACCCCAATTAATTGCGTTTCCATTGGCGCTGAAATAAACTGAGACATTACCTAACACTTTGGTAAATGCATTTGCTTGCATAGCGACGACGACGACGACGACGACAGCGGGAGGAGGCTTTTGCCCAGTAAGGGATGTTACCGTGCTTTAATATCCCTTCTTTATAAATATTTACAAATTTCTCTGGCAGTCTCAGTGTCTCAATACGAATATCATTATTAGATATAACCTTTACCTTTTTAATGGCGGGTACTTTCAATAACGTCACTGGCAACCTATCTTGAGCTCTGGAGATACAGACATGAAGACCAGTGTCCACATTAATGCTGAGCACTCCAAAATACCTGTAAAGTATTATTATCAAATTATCGAAAAATTCTGATAATGCTATATTTTTCCTATTAATAATATTTTAAAGATTATATTACTTTTCCAAATTTAAGGTTATAAACCATATTATGTGGAAAAAAATTTTAGCATGGACATATTTTTTTATAAAATAGGGTGACAAACGAGCACACAGTCCACCTGCTAGTAAATGGTTGCTGTGGTCCATAGACGTCTACGTCTATCCTCGATTACGAATCAAAATGCAGATGCGTTGTCACCCGTGAGGACTACGATTTAATACCTCGTTTCCAATAAAAAGGGTCTCCGGTTCTCTACACTCCCTCTACGTAACATTCCAGCATTAAGCTGCTATTTTACGCTGGTATTATGTGAGAGCGAGGTCCTTCCCCGGTCGAGCTGACCCATTCGTGCTACAACTGTACTACCAATATAACTGCAGCATGGGACTACCACGTAAAAATATATTTAAAACAACTTGACACTAAAACGGGGATCAAGATTGTCTATCACCTTATACAGGAGTACAGAGTAGATTACCATTAGTTTTTGGTAACAATGTTATCGTTCTTGCGCTACAATTTCTATTAAAAATATTTAAAAGAATTTCATTTGATATATACTTACTTAATGTGTGGACAAAGTTTTCTTGAAACTAAATCCAGTAGTCTAACTAAATTTTCTGATCCAGTATCAGACATTTCGTTAGTTCCTACTATGTAAATACCTTCAACGACGCCGAGATTGTTGCAATCATTTAACAAGTTTGTAATATCGTTTTCACTTTTTAATATTTCATTAGTAAGCTTTACTTGAACACCGTGTTTTACCAGTGACCTGTTAATTAAATCGTTCTGTTAAGTTACATCCATGAAAATAAATTCCATGTTAACTATAGAAACATAGTAATATAGCCATACCTGATTTCATATTCAAGATACTCAGAATGTTTTAAAGAGTGCAAGTAAACTTTTCGGGCACCACGGTTAACTATTTTTTTTGCAAACTGTAAACCTAAATTGTTATTGTTGCAAAATATTAGTTGACTTAAATCTGAAGAGCAGGACAACCTGAAAATTGATATTACCATAATGTATAAATTAGTTATAAAAAGATATAAACAATCATGCGCTCTTACTTCAGCAACTGTTCATAACGGTAAGACGAAATCTAAAATTGTAAAAACACTCTGAAATCAGTTCAGTTCATACAGGTTAGGTTAAATCGTTTTTATATTTGAACGACAAGTGATAATAGCAAGTGGCTTCAATACACCATGGACATAAACAATCAAACAAATACAGCCACAGATGCTTTGTTATTCGTGATTACTAAGATAAAATGTCAGACAGCATACGGTTATACTTCAGTTACGTCTGAAAGACAACTGTTACATAAAAGAATGTAACAATTAAGTTAAATATACGGACCACTGATAGACAGATGTCTTGTCTCATTTTTAAGAGGATAATAGAACAGTTAAACCGCCACGCCGATCTGCTACAGTGCGTGCTTGCGGAATTGTTTTCCCCCAAATATTACATTTCTCTGACAAAAAGGATTCCTCAGGATTTTTTAATTGTGACCATCTCGTTGATTAAGTAGTCGTAAGCGCGTAAGGACCTGAGTTCATATCCCGGGTTTAGACAAAATTAGTTATTGGGTTTTTCTGTCAAGAAACTATCAGTAGCAGCTCGGAGTCAGAAATTTGGCGTTATTTCACTCCCGTGTCACAAAAAGTATGTAAAGCCATTGGTTCTGTATCTGATCTTAATCTAGTTATACCGCATGGCCTTTCAATGGGACTATGAGAGCGAGAGTGCTCCTGTGCTTGCGCACGCACTCGTGCCGTATAAAATGCATTTTCCTGCGCATGAACTCCGGTCTTGGTAGCCAGGCTCAACGGAGACTTGAGCCTGGCTACCAAGACCGGAGTTCAGTCTGGACAACATTATTCCTTATCCGGCAAGTACGAGGTACGATCACAACTATAACAGCAACAAACAATTTTTATAAGTGTCGGCGGAAATCAAACTGTGATTGCAAGGGGACAAAAATATTCACGGCGATAATTTAGCGCTTAGTTTAGTGTCTTCATTAGATTAGAAAGTAAATCATAAACAGTAATAAATAGTTTAGTATTTTAAAATAATGAATACAATTTACCTAGGTTTATAGTATGGGGAAAGCCCCTCTTGAGTATTATCGTTAGGTAGAAGTTGGATTAGTGCACGTCCACGGTGTCGACTTGCGGCTAACAGACGGAAGGCACGTGAAACCTCCATGGGGGCATATATGACTCGTGATAACGGACGTACGTAGCCACGCTTAATGCCCTCAGACACCATCAACTGTATTTTCTAAAAAAAAGTTACATAACTAATTTCGCTCGCAAGCTCAAACCAACAAAGAAAGAAAGACGATACGCTGCGTACATGACATTACAAAACAGCTCATTTTATTAACCCTCGACAACAGGGGGGTGTTATAAGTTTGTGCTGTATATCTGTGTATCTGTATCTATATAGCATCAAAGCTCCTGAACTGAAGAACCGGTTTTGATTAAGTTTGAAGAAATTTTAATCTTTAGGCACATTGGGCACTTTTGGGATGGGGAAAAAGCACTGAACTCGCGTGACTGTCACGCTCAGATACATAAAATTGATGAAAGTAATGTTGAAAATCCATTAGTTAAAACTTTGTAAATTTAACCCGGCGAGCATGAGGTTAAAAAAAGTAAGAGAAGTGGCAGGGTGGTGACATACCCATAATTTAATGTATCATATTTAAGTTCTTATTATTATTATTTTTACTTTGATGATTTTATTATGAAAAATAATGAATGATTTAATAGAATTAAATGAAACAAGTTCTTAATTGTGAAATTATTATTATATAATCATGTTTTTCATAAACTTTGTAATTAAAGAAACAAAAGTTTAAGGACTTACAAAAATTTATAATTTAACAAAAATATTATTCTTTGGAGTGTAAATCAACTTAAAATTAAAACATAGTGAGATCCTCCTTGTAAAAAACTTATTATTAATTTTTTTTTTAATTAAAAATTATGATTAATCACCACTGTCGAGATCAGCACAATTTTCATAAATAAATTTTGCGTGCTCCATACATATGGGCTTGGCACAAGCATTCCAGGAATATTCGGTTTTTTTATCCTTCTTGTATGGACAATCCTGACATCTGACATATCGCCCGCGTATATTCATATATCTAGGCGAGGGCTCACCGAACTGTTTTAAGATTCGCTGGCGGATGTAGCTTAGAATATGCTTTTTTGATTTTCATGAATGTAGGTGTTCGTAAATCACGAATTAAAAAAAATTATTAATCACGAAAAAAATAAAATTACGAATGAATTCCGTTCTCTCGATTGTGACGTTTTTGTTTGCTCGATATAAATAATTGCAAGCATTGATAGCTGACATGTTCAAGACACCATCGAATAAAGTCGTAGCCCATCGTTTACTGTTGCGACTAACATAACACAGTATAAATGAATAAACAACAAATTTATATACTAAAATCATCAAAGAAAAAACTAATAAAACAATCATAATTCATGATCAAATCATTACGTAAAAAAATACGTCAAAAATGAGGCAGGGTATAACATACCCGAGACAGGTTTGACCACGAATATAACGGCCGGTGTCCCACGCCACACTGCGATCACGCCACTAACCCGCCCCACGCGCCCTACACTCCAGCTACTGAGCGAGTTAGGGTTTCCAGGCGAAGATTTTAAAAAATACACCACCTTGAAATTTTATCAGGGTGTGTGATACCCTGGCTCATGCTCGCCAGGTTAAGATGCATTTATAAACTTTTTTGTACTGTATAGATTATAATCATTCTTCGTGCAAAACAGCGCGTTAAATGAACATTTTATGACTATATTAACGTTGACTAAAATAATATATTAATTCGTTGATAAAAGTAATTTCTAATAAAAATACTTTTTGTTTGTATTATAGATAATAATCATTCTTTTTCAAGTAAAACAGCGCAATAAATGAAAATTTTATGACTATATAAACACGTTGATTAAAATAATATCTAATAAATAATACTTCCTAAAAATATTTCTTAACCACCCAAAAATAATATTTAGAAGTTTGTGCATCTTACGTGCTATGTTTCAAGAAAATCTTTTTTTTTTTAAAGCCATTTGAAAATCACCAGCTCTTTTGGTTTCGGAGTTTTTTAAAATATTTAATTTAAGTTATTGTATAAACTGATTTTAAGATACCACTCGATTGATGAATCGATTGCACAAGAGCTGCTTTTCTATTGTTTTATATTATTTTCTTGTTTATAATAATCTGTATAAGAATGAACGTAAGCAAGGTGTTAACTACCTAAGCTAAACAGAAATTAAAAAACCCAATTGCCTTAAATCGTCTACTGAAAATACCTTGTGTTCTCAGATGCAATATAAATGACATAGGGTATGTAATATAAATATTGCATACCCTGTGTCATTTCCACAATTAAGAGATCTAAAGACAGCCTTTATCGCTTAAGATATTTAGTTTACAGAGCGTGCCAAAGAAATAGTATTTGTGTTTGTACCTAACATACATAAATACATACTCTCGTAAAATTGCACCCTTCTTCTGAGTTGGGTCTCGCCTGCAATACAATGCCAGGAATTTGCATTTACAAAAAGCCAAAATTTGAGGCTTTTAGGTGCCAATTAGGTGCAAAGTTTTAAAATTCGATACTCTAAAACTAAAATTTGCGTTGCTGGCAAAACGTATCGCTAGCAAGGCAGTGACGATGATAGATATACGATAACACAAAGTACCAGCGTTAAATAGTAGCTTAATGCTGCTGTGTTTTGTACGGTTAGTGTTGAAAACCCGGGACCCTTTTTACTGGAAACGAGGCATTCCATCGTAGTTACGGGTAAAGATTAATTCGTTATCGATGATAGATGTAGATGTCAATAAGCCACAGCAACCACTTACCATCAGGTGGATTGTGTGCTTGTTTGTCATCCTATCTCATAAAAAATTAATAGCAAGGTATTGTGTGCTAATTTAGAGCTGTAAGTATAGGCAAAGACAAGGTGCCCCTAATAAAAATAAAGTCATTATTCCTAGCAAAACACATACAAAAATAAGGCCTTCTGAAAATCAGAACAGAATAAAAATTAGGTATATGATTAATTTGATAACTAAGTGCTTTTTAAGTCATTTTAAAAACACACATTTTTAAACAGGAATATAGACACAGTTACTTTTGCAACAGCTTCGGCGCTGCGGGAAGTGTAGTCCCCGCCCGCTACAGCTTTAGTATAGATTTGAACTACGTTCTCTATAATATATGACCGATAAAGAACAAAAACAGTCATACAAACAGTCGTAAGGTAATGGTGGTCCTGACCCTCATAATTCTCCGAATATTACCGTCATCCACATCCGACCTTAATAACCTTTCAGCACTTAATTAGCACTTAATTGCTTGCTGTTAATATTTATCGCATATTTATTATCCTCCTTTCGGTGCTAAAGAAACATCATATAGAAAGAAAAGTCCCTAATTTTAGCTTTCCCTAAATGCAAATTACAGATTTTGCGTTTCTTGCGAGACAGAGCTTTCCTTCTAGGGCAGTAAAAATAAACAATAATAATTTTGTACATGTAGTAAAATGTGATATAAAGTAGTACGTAGTGATTTACTGTTACTCTGTAGAAATGCCTAAATTAATTTGTTTTAATTTAGTTGATGATATTTTGAAGAGTTGTTTACATTGAATAAAATAGTGTTCGCGTAAATTTAAGAAATCATTATGAGTTGTTTACATGTTTGGCAACAATAATCATCATTAATATAAAGAATGAAATGGACGGACATTGTCAAGGCGCTTCGAAAATTAGGTGTTTTTGAGTATCTCATCCGTATCATGAGTGATTACCTATGTGATCGTTTTTTGTTATTTGAAACAAGATCAGAGTGGGGGCGGAGTGGCACAGGACTCTGTTTTAGAACCAGAGCTTTGGATTACCCTTTACGATGCACTTCTACGTCTCGCCTTACCAACTGAGGTACTACTGGAGGGACTCGCTGAGGACGTGGCGGCATTAATCCTTGCAAGGAGCCGTGGTGAAGCACGGGGGTTGGCGAGAATGACCGAAATGAACATGGTATGTCCTTAGCCACAGCGAAAACGGAGGTTGTGGTACTTATAGCTCTGAAGTGGTTTCCGAGGCCCTTCCAGGCTGTCATCGTGAGAGTGGCGGTACGTAGGCTCAAGGCCAGGAATACCGCCCCAGGACCCGATGGCTTGCCTGGCAAAGCCTGGGTCCTGGCCTCGGAGGCTCTCGGGCCCCGACTGGAGGGGCTCCTAAGCGCATGCTTGGAGAGGGCCAATTCCCGCTTCGTTGGAAGACGGGGAAGCTGGTCCTCATTCGGAAGCCGGGGCGCCCTGCGGACTCTCCGTCCGCATACCGGCCCGTGGTGCTGCTCGACGAGGTGGGCAAGCTCTTTGAAAGAGTCATTGCAAACCGCCTCGCCGAGCACCTTGCGGAGACGGGGCCGGATCTTGCGGAACACCAGTTTGGTTTCCGCAAGAGGCGCTCTACGGTGGACGCCATCATGCGCGTGAGAGCCCTCACGACGGGGGATGCAGTGGCCAGAGGGGGGGGTTGTCTTGGCGGTGTCTCTCGACATCGCCAACGCCTTCAACTCCATGCCCTGGAGCTGCATTAGGGAGGCACTCCGGTATCACCGGGTGCCGACCTATCTCCGTCGTATAGTCGGGGACTACCTGACGGACAGGGCCGTCATCTACCCCGGTCGCAACGGTGAGTGGAACCGGCGAGAGATGTCGTGCGGTGTCCCACAGGGTTCGGTTCTGGGGCCACCTCTGTGGAACATCGGTTACGACTGGGTGCTGCGCGCCGACCTCCCTACCGGCGTCAGTGTAGTTTGCTACGCTGACGACACGCTGGTACTGGCACAAGGGGGGACGTACGAGGCGGCGGCGGAAAATATGACACGCGGGGTTGCGATAGTCGTTGAGAGGATTCGGCAACTGGGTCTCGAGGTGGCTCTGCACAAGTCCGAGGCCATGCACTTCCATGGTCCTCGGAACAGGCCACCACCGGGATCCTCAGTAATGGTAGGAGGGGTATCCATCGACGTCGAGTCGACGCTGAAGTACCTAGGACTCGTCCTCGACGGCCGATGGAACTTCGTTGAGCATTTCCGACGTTTGGCTCCCAAACTGGAACGGACCGCGGCTGCCTTCAGGCGGCTCCTGCCAAACCTGGGAGGGCCAAACGCCTCCTGCCGGAGGCTCTACGCGGGGATCGTGCGGTCCATGGCCCTTTACGGGGCCCCGGTGTGGGCGCGTGGTTTGGCGCGGCTTGCCGTCCACCACCTGAACGCGCCCCAAAGGGCGATAGCCGTGAACATGGTTCGCGGCTACCGCACGATCTCCCGCGAGGCGGCGAGCCTCCTTGCCGGATTGCCGCCATGGGATCTGGAGGCGATAGTCCTCGCGCGCCTGCACGAATGGCGTGCGGAGGCACTATGCCGTGGGGAAACCCGCTGCCGCGGCAAGTTGTCGCGCAGCGGACAGACTTCCGGCACGATCTCATGGCGACATGGAGACAGCGACTGTCGCAACCCCGTGCTGGGCACGCCACTATAGCGGCGATAAGACCCCTCTTTGAGGAGTGGCTTGAGAGACGCCACGGCATCCTCACCTTCCGTCTGACGCAGGTCCTCACCGGACACGGTGTGTTTGGGAGGTTCCTGCACCGAATCGGGCGGGAGGAAACGCCCGGGTGCTCCCACTGCGAGGATGGACCGGAGGACACGGTGGAACACACCGTGGAGGTGTGCCCTGCTTGGGCGGAGCACCGCCGTGTCCTCGTAGCGGCGATAGGCGGCGGCGACCTCTCGCGTCCGGCCCTGGTCGAAGCCATGGTCCGGAGCGAGACGGAATGGGATGCCGTCACCACTTTCTGCGAAGCAGTGATGCTAGCGAAGGAGGTGGCGGAGCGGGAGAAGGAGAGAGCAGCAGCTTTCCTCCCCGGCCGCCGCGGGAGACGCCCCGGGCGTCGGGGGCTACGTCGTGGCCCCCGGCCACCGTAGGCGCGGGCCTGTGGACGGCGAGCAATGGGTAGCTCGTCGTCCGTCCGTCTAATGACGACAGGCCGTGTCGACGGCGCGTTTTGTTCCACGCGCGCCTCAAAGAGCTGTCAGCAGCGTGAAGGGGCCCGCAAGGGCCGACGCCTGCCGGGGCTGCGGGCTGTTCGAAAGAGATACCGCGGCTCTGGAACGTAAGGGCACTGAAGGAACACGGATGGTTTTTAGTCAGTAAAAGTCTGACACTCCCTTACGCTCCACCCAGAGCGAAAGGGGTCATTAGATGATTTTCTATCCGCAAAAAAAAAAAAAAAAAAAAAAAAAGGCTGTCATCGTGGATCAACACATCGAGACTCAGGGGTCTCTGAAATACTTCAGAGTGACGATAGACTCGAAACTAACGTTTCGAGATCAGATTATCAGTGTGGCCACAAAAGCAGCGATTACGGTGGCGAATCTTTCTCGGTTAATGCCAAATATCAGGGGACCAAAAAGCAGCTGCAGAAGAATTCTCATGAGTGTAGCAAACTCGTTTATGCTCTATGGAGTAAAGGTCTGGGGAGACGCACTTAAAATAGAAAAAAAATCGGAAGCGACTTGCGTCGGTACAACGTAGAGGTGCACTGAGGACAGCCTGCGCCTATCGAACGGTATCGGAAGCAGCAGTGTTGGTTATTTCAGGTACCAAATCGACCTTTTGGGATTCGAGAGGAAGCGTATCTGGAATGCTCGGCGGGCTAGTGAGGAACCGTTGATGACGTAAGGACTCGGGAACGTGAGGAAACTTTTGTGCTCTGGCAAAGGCGCTGGGATCCAGGGTAACCTGGCGTTGAACTTATAAGCTTATTGGACAAGTCCGTGACTGGTTCTTACGAAATCATGGGGAAGTAGAATTTTACCTCACTCAATTCCTTACTGGACACCGACAGCTCAATGCCTACTTACACCGTATGAAAATCCGAAACTTTCCTGCTTGCGTTTACTGTCCGGACATTGTCGACTCTACCGAGCACACCTTCTTTGTCTGTCAACACTGGTCTGAAACACGGCATGCTGGCAGAGCGAGAAGAGGGTGCCTTAGAGACCAGAAGAGGTCGTCCCTTGGATGTTGACAACAAATGTCAACTGGACAGCGATGACGAGGTATGTTAGGGAGGTGCTGCTGATGAAAAAAAAGGAGAAATAGAAACGGAGACGTAGTCGCGTTAAGAAGCGATATGGAGGGGTACCAGCACCATGAAGTAAGCTAACCCGGTCCCGTTGTCCTGGGTACTTAAGAAAGAGGCGATTTTAGTGGGTAAAATCCCACACTACCGATTTTATAACAACTGGACCGGTGTATTTTTGAAGATTTCTTCCTCTCTATATTAAATATATATATATATATATATATATATATATATATATATATATATATATATATATATATATATATATATATATATATATATAGAATGACATGCTTACTCTTAATTCCTCATTACTTTCTTGGGCTAGGAGCTGACTGAAATGAATAGCTATGTACGACCTCTGTTTATCCATGCCGTGCATTCCAAAATAGAAATTCTCTTGGGTTGTAATTTGCGCCGTATCGATCGTTACACCCCACGATGCAGTGCATTTTAAGGATATCTGAAAAAGGAACATTGTAAGTATTTTTATCATTATAATTTATAGTTATAAAAAAAATTACAAGTGCCTCGTTGGTGCAATGGTTGTATATGCGACTGCTGATTACGAGGGTTACAATCCTGGGTAGGAAATTATTTTCTGGTAAGAAATTCTCAACAACAGCTCTGTATCAGGAATTTGGCTGTTTTCACCTTTTTGCCTCGAAAAGCACGCAAAGCCGTTAGTCCTGCGTCTCATCTTGCTCCGGTAATGTCACGTTGCCCTTCACTCGGACTATGAGAGTGAGAGTACTTCTTTGTTTACGCACTCACTCGTGCACTATAATTATACCCAGCGCAGATGGCTAATCTTCATTGAACGTGGCCGCCGTGACTGAAATTTGGTCTTGAGGATATTATTCCTTTACCAAAGAGTACGTAAGAGTTACAGCCTATATACGTCCCACTGCTGGGCCCAGGCCTCCCTTCATTTCTGAGAGGGTTTTAGGTCAAGGAAGTGTCCGCCGCGCTGCCCCAATGCATGTTAGCGAACTTCACGTCTTCGAAATATTTTTTTTTATTCCTCAGACATGCAGGTTTCCTCACGATGTTTTCCTTCACTGTCAAGCACGTGGTAAAGGCACGTCACCACGTCAAATTACAAAATTTTACTATAGCCGGCGGTGGCAGCGCTACCTAGTGGGACCAAATGTTCATCTTAACCATTCGCGGAACTACTCAAACACACAAAAAATTATTCTATGAATTTCTCCAAAATCGGTCCAGCCCTTTAGAAGGAAAGGAGTTCAGTGACAACGTATGTATGTATATATATATATATATATATATATATATATATATATATATATATATAGGGTACTATTCTAAGCGGTAATTAGTTAGCTTAGTATTTGTATGACGAAAAAAATAGAAACTTACGTGTTTAAGATCACCAGAAATACAGCTAATGACGATATCGCAACCGTTACCATTCGTTGCCGTTAATACCATGTCTGCAAATGTTGAGTCGCGTGAATTCCCTATCTGGTCATCTGAAATTTTCAATTGAAACAGTAAACAAAATCATTAAAACCTATTAAATTCCATTGCTATTCATTGACCTTCCCACAGATGGAAAGTTTACGACCTCTAGACCAACGAAGCTACGAAGTTATCATTATTACATCGTATCAAAGTTCACTGCTGAATATATTATCCAATTAGACAGCCTCATAAGGGGGTATTTGCTATAATTACCGGGCCGGTTGGAAATCGCATTCTGTTATTTTCTAGTTATTAGCACAAACACGTTACCGCTCATCTCCGGGTTTGATTCCCTTTATCTACCTCTGACTACACCCATGGGAGGATATGAGGTATTCGATATTATTACACGGTTCATAAACCATTAAAAAGTTACTGATATTAATATAACGGAACATAAACATATGGCATAGAAGAATACACAACCCCATTTCATATAAATCGGGTAATTGGGATCCCTGAAAGAAGATTTTTTCGGGTGTAAAAATAAATAAAAGAGCTACTTTCAATAATCTATATTTAATAAAAAGGTTGTTTTACACCAAAAGTAAATTAAACAAAGTTACGAAGAAGAGCAACCTTAAAAGAAAATAAAATGAAAACCAATAAAATACTTATCGTCACCACTGGTGATAAGAGGGTTGGTTTTTTACTCGCTCAAAGCTCAAGCTATTTTGTGAAGAAACGTGAAAGCGTTATTGGCACTATACCGCGGTGCGTAGGACTATATTATAATCATTAAAGTTTTGAGTTTTAGCTTTATTTTATTTTGGTACATTATGGTTGTAGCACGAAATGTATGGAGTTTGGCTTGACTGGGGAAGGACCACACTATGACAGAATAGCAGCATAAAATAGCAGCTTAATGCTGCTGTGTTTCGTATGGTGAGTGTAAATAACCGAAAAACCATTTTACTGGAATCGAGGCATTCCATCTCAGTCTTCAGGGGTAATGTACAAATGTCTATGGGCCACAGCATCTACTTACGATCAGGTACACTGTGTGCTCGTTTGTCAACCAAATTCTGTAAAAAAAATGTTATCTAAATAAATTGATATTATATTGAAATATTTATTAGAATATTAAGAGCCATGGTAGGTCAGTTACAAAACAGTCGTTGTAAATTTCATAATATGCTAGCAATCCGTGTTCCATTTGCACCGGCAACAACGAAATTGTTACTCGTATTATATATTATTGGTATTATATATAATTTCAAATGCATAGCACTCCAAATTCCACCTATTATGACTTCTACTTATTATGACTTCCACCTATAATGACGAATAACAGGTGGAAAGACATGAAAATTCAAAATTTACGACAACAATTCCTCTTGAACGAATGAACCGATAATCAATATCGGTTCATCATCGGTTTGCAGCAATTGATGTTGTTTTGGGGGTTAATACATACAAACGTGTAGCCTATGGGTCAAATATATAAAAAAATCTTACGACGCCCCACGCATTCTATACAATAACGCCTTCAGGACGCTAATGAAGCTGCCACGCTACTATAGGGACATCCCCGTAAGAGTAGACAGAATAGCTTTCTAGGACCTCAAAACGTGAAGATCTTATTGACTCGATTTTCAAAAATCAGTGTGAAACCAATAACTTCCCGATTTTTGGAAAGTCATGGATTTTCATATCGGGAATTCAAAAAATAATTTTAATATATTAAATGGTTTAAAACTACCTTTTAACTCCGGGAATAATTTACGCAGAAAACGTTTTTTGTTGATATCACTGACGGTCGTGAAGATTTTGCAGTCAAGGCCTAAAGCGATCGATATTACCGCTTGTCCCAACGCTCCGGCACCTCCATGAACAAGTACGGTCATACCGGGAAGAAAATTGTATTTTATAGCCTGAAATATTAAATTCCGTGTTATACTAAAGTAAATTTATATGTAACATACATACACATGTTTTTTATAAGCTTAAGTGACAAACGACCTTACGTCCCACCCCACGTAACCACACTCTGTAATTGTACCCTCTATACCCTTTGAAACCAGAAACAGGTTAAAAGGTGGTGCAATATTTACGTGCTACAGCTATACTCGCAGCTATATTAGTAGTATAGTTTCAACACGAAAGGATCGGTAAGACTGGGGGGGGGGCACGCTCTCACAGAAAACCAGCGTAAAATAGCAGCTTAATGCTGCTACGTTTCGTATGGTAAGTATAGATAACCGGAAACCCTTTTTACTGGAAACGAGGCATTCCATTTTAGTCCTCACGGGTGACAACGCATCTGCATTTTGATTCGTAATTGAGGATAGATGTAGATGTTTATGGGCCACAGCTACCATTTACCATCGCACCTTAAAAAAACGTAACCTACCGAGCCGGACTCCTAGTAAAGAGCGAATAAAAATTTTAAATTAATTAAATATAAGAAGTTATTACTAATATATTATTCAGAATTACTACTACGTATTACTCACAAGACAGTAGAACGCTAAACAGTACGCAAGAGGTACTGTTGCTGCTTCTTCGAGACTCCAATGCTCTGGTACGGGCCATAACAAATCGGGACGAGCTAGAACACGTGAACTAACAGCACCACCTGTGACTAATCCCATTACACGTTCCCCGCTGAGAAATTTAATTTATATAATTTATATTAAATTAAAAATAAACATTAACAAAAATTTTCCTAATATCGATGAGTAAAGTTACAACCTATATACGTTCCAGTCTCTTTTTGGGAGGCTTAACAGGCAAGGAAGTGTCCACCGCGCTACACTAATGCGCGTTGGTGGACTTCATATGTGTTCGATATTTCTTTATTACTCAGCGAATTTATTGTACCAGCTAAAATTGTTTTTAATTGTCATTTTATAGCCACGAGCAACACGGTCCCAACGAAGAAAATTTTATGACGAAAACTAAATAAAATAAATATATTTAGAAGACACATAAATCCGACATATTGTACCTACTTAGGTAGCGAGGCTGACTTTTTCTTGCTCCATAACCTTGTGAGAAATGTGAGGCAGCCTGTACCCAACAGTGCAACATATTCACAGGCAGATACTTATCATACACTTAATACAAATTGATTCTTGACTGCTCTTATATGATTATATTTACTATAAATACCTGGATTTCTCGTCCTATTGGTTTTCACCTTTAAGCAAAACTAAAGAGTTTATTATTAAGTCAGCTTTTCTTGTACAATTTATCTCTCACTTGTAAGGTGCTCAATCTTAACCCAGGAACCCGGGTTAGATCTCTGCCAGCAGTAGTGAAATTGTTAGTTACAATTTTAAGTACATGATATTGGAGAAAACTATAATGAGGAAGTTTATACCATAACCCCCTCAGATATAAGAGGAGACGTATGCAAAATTTGTAAAGGCCGTAACTTTAATTTCATCATTGTCATCACTTTACCTCGTCGATCCAATGTTGAACGTAGGTCTCCTCCAAGTTATGCCACAAATCACGGTCAAGCAGCACATGCATCCATTACTTCCTGCATTAATAAAATATCTTTAAAAATATTGCATTCTACCTTTCAGTTACACCACTGAAGTCCATTCCGAAATTATTTTCATTGCTGTCATCGTTACGTGGAATTATTTCAGCACATTTCTTAACATCATTATCGTTCAATCCAGCAAAATGTACCTGGTTATACACAATTTTAAATATGGTAATTATGAAAACAATAAAATATAATATTACTAAAATAACGATGAATTACATAAACTTACGGTTACTTTCACGCCAGGGCCGTTAATACGTGGCATTTCAACCCAATATAAAGAGTTAAAATCTCCGAGGGAAGAGTTCTGAAGAGTGATGTCATATGTAAAAGATATTTTTTTCTGTAATGGTATGAAGAACTGACCACCCCATTGTCCCTGAATAATTAAATCATTGATTATATTGACATATTACATGTTTTTATCCAATTAATGTCATAATAGGTATAGCAGTGATCTTACGTGATCCAATACATTGAACGCCAAATCCAAATTGGGCAGTTGATCAATGTTTTGATCTTCGGAAATTCTATAATTTATCATAATCACATAGATTTGGATGCGATCCTTTCGCCATTGCTGAACAAGATTTTTCAGTCCATCTATAGGTGGATAAGATGTAATAATAAGGAGCTTGTGTCTTTGTGGTAATGCTGCTTGAGTAGAAGATAATAGATCAAGATCAGAAGAAGAGCGCACTGTATAGGTACTCGTAGCGACTGCATTAGATGTAGGCCTCCAGCGTACTAGTTCAAGCCTCTCATCTTTCGTATTCTGTGCACTTACAATACGATAAAGTGCTGACGGTCTATTAAATAAATCCTTTGCATAATTTTCTTTGTTTAAGATGAAAGTATCTCGACAAAGTACGCGGTACAGAGTTTGACATAACTGGAAATAAATTAAAACTAAACTTAATATATCTTGTCTTATATGAATATTTTAAAATGATCAACTATGAATATTTTTACATATTATTAATTGGTTGAGCGACGGGCCTAAGGTTACCGAATTCCAATTCCCCGGTCGAGCCTTAAGCCTATTACGCGAGATGTTACACCAAATGGACTGTATAAGTGGATTGCTTCTTCCGTCTTCACAAAATGGCGACTATAGCATGCGGTTTTCCTGACAATGCCCTCGCTCTTCCCTAAACGAACTATTGCTTGCCAAAATCTATGAAGGAACCCCGCTTGATCACGCTAGGAGAAAATAAAATTGGAGCGGATTAACTAATAAATACAATTATGTCACGCGGGCTTATAACTGGAAGTTACACACCGGGGTGTTGCTTCGATGCGGCTTGGGCGCTTTGTTGCTGCGGTGCGACTTCTGGCGGATCTCCTGGGGCGCCAGAGATGCGTTCCAGTCCGGTGATGCGATGGAAGAGGGCGGTGCGCGACTATATCTCACACGAGGTGAGGCGGTTTCTCCCGGAGCTCGACTGCTCCGGGCTAATGCGGTTTAACTAGCGGTGCGCGTGGGCAAAAGCCTTCTAGGACGCGACTGTCCTAGGAGGTGTGGTTCCAACTAGCAGCCGAAGAGAAGAGAGCGCATGTAGGCCGTGCGCGCACTTGTATTAGTTCGGTTGCGAAGATCACGTGACATTCTAGAACTATCTTCTTTCCCCTTTCACCCCACCACCCCGATGTGTCGAAAGGGACAACAGGTGAAGGGAAGGTCGAAGGAAGGACAGATCTTGGCAAGCATACCGTCGAATTAAATAAAATTACGAATGGTTTTCCGCGCAACCATTAATTATAAATTCATATTTAATTTAAACAATTTTGAAGTTATTTATCTTAATTCTTGAAGCGTTCTTTAAATCAAAATTTATTTATTGTATAGATGAGTTAGAACCGGGCTATAGATACTTAATGTGGCTTATCAACAAAAAATGTGGACAAAATAATAAAATCGTGCCCTTATAAGAAAGGAAATGAAACTAATCAATTTAGAAGGAATGAGTCTTCAGATATTTGGTAAATACTTTATTTTTATGTTGTATAGTTATGTCTTAATTAGTATACCATAATCCTCTTACCTTATCATCTTTTGATAAATCTGTAACTAGCATTAAATCGACATCTATTAAAAAGTTGGCTCGTTCATATAAAATATTATTTCTATAAATCATTTTGTGTTGGACCTCTATAAAAGGCACGTTCTTAAAAATGTCATTAAGATTCCGAAAATGAACTTCGTCACTTTTGTGATCACACAATTCTAATATACTAATAACATTTTTATTCAAATTTTCTGCAACGATTTGCAAATATACCAACATGGCTGTTTCGAACTGAAATAAAAATTTCTTGTCAAAACTTTTAAATAAGAAAAATAATCTTACAACATTTGCTATTATACTTACATCAGTTCTGTCTTGTTGGAAGTATGGGACAAATTTCAAAGTCATCAAATCTGTTTCCTTTTCTAATGGCGGTAAATCGCGGAATTTAACATCCTCTATTGCGACACCTCCGCATCTGTAAGTACATGAATTTGGGTATTTCAAATAAAAAAATTATAATTCAAATTATAAACTTCTCTGCGGAAACAGCTCATTATAATGTATAGTAATACATTATACTTAAAAAATTGTCAATCAGTCTATATAAAAAACAAAATTCTATTAACCTCGATCATCTAGCAATCGTCAGTGCGATTGCTAATCGTGTCGTTCTGGTTTATAATCCAAAGAAGGTCCAAAATCTCAAATTGATTTTTTTCGGTCAAGAAATTCTCAGTAGTAGCACGAAGTCAGAAAGTTGGCAGTTTTTCTCCCCTGTGCTCCAAGTAGCACGTATTGAAGTAGGTCATGCGCTTGATCTCTCTCATGCGCATGCAAATTTATGTTAGTGAAGGTATGAATAATGCACTGCTGCTTGTGCACATACTCTTGCAATATAATGCTATCTTGCGTAAATGAGTGCCTTGACCGTATGTCGGTCTGAAAGACATTTATGTTTTATAGCAGCTGACATAACACACGTACCTGAATATTCATTTGAAAATCATTTCGTGAGCAGGTAACGATTTTGCTGTATACTTTTTTAGACTTAAAGGTTTCGAGCATTATTGATGGATACTGATTAGTGTAATTAAAAAAAAATTAAGTACGTTTCTTAAATCAAATGCCAACCATCTAAGTCAACGTCAGAACGAAACACAACCGTTGACCACAGACGCAAACAATAAACAACGCACGGTCTATAATCTGTCAAAACATACACTGGACGAACCAACAATAAAGGTATTAGCGAAGGGCGAAGATTATGAACTTCGCATTAATACCGCGAAAAATGCCGTACGAAGACATTATCTGCAGTGTTGAGGATTGTCTGTTTAAAAATAATATTAGTAAGGAAGATTTGGAGGCTATACGTCAAGATGTTTCGTCCTTGTTACGTCGTAGTGCAGTACCGAAACCAAACCTTCCTAAAGACGAATTTACAGCGTTGATTAACTTACGGAACAGACCAGAGCTAACGATTCTCCGCGCGGATAAAGGAAATGCTACGGTAATACTGGACACGTCAGAGTATAATTTTAAAATACTACAGCTTTTATCGGACGAAAGTACATACAAAAAGGTCAAAACAGACCCCACAACTAACGCGCTTAAAGCAACTAGCGATTTAATAAAGAAATACTCCTAAAAATTAAATCTCGCCGTGAATTCGCTAATACCATCATGTACCAAACCCTCGGTGGTTGTATGGGTTACCGAAGATACACAAACCAAACGCTCCACTACGTCCTATAGTGAGCCAGATCGATTCACCAACTTATAAGCTGGCACAACACTTGGCAAAAGTACTGTCACCACTGTGAGGACATACCAGAGCACACACAAAGGATTCATACCATTTTGTTAGTGAGATAAAAGACTTACATCTCACTGACAATGAAACTATGGTCAGTTTTGATGTTCAGTCACTATTCACATGCCTACCTATTGTAGACTGCATATCAATTGTAACTAGAAAGCTAGAATATAATAACATGCCTGCTGAATTTGCAGTATTACTCAAACACTGCCTCACATCTGGCTATCTATTGTAGAAGGAAGAGTTCTACAAGCAAGTAGATGGTGTGGCGATGGGCTCACCTGTATCTCCCATAGTCGCCGACATATTCATGGAGGACTTCGAGGAGAAAGCCCTTCTTACTGCTCCTGTAAATCCAAGATTCTACAAGCGGTACGTAGACGACACTTTCACAATTTTACCATCTGACAAAGTAACTGCATTTTTAAACCACCTTAACTCTATAAACTCTAAAATACAATTCACAATGGAGTTAGAGGCAAATAATTCTTTAGCTTTCTTAGATATTTTAGTCATTCGAAATCCTAATAACACAATTGGTCACACTGTGTATAGGAAAAAGACCCATACCAACCGAGGCTTAATAACTTAAAACTTACAGTAAGCAGGTCAATATGCACTAGCTGATTCAGCCCTGAGTTATGGACTAATTACATATGGACGTACTTTTCAAACGTATACAGATAAAATTCTTAAGTTGCAAATTAGATTAATAAAATTGTTTATTGATGAAAAAACAAAGAAAAAATATAACATAGACGGAAATTATAATAATTTATTTAAAAATTTTAGAATATTACCTGTGCATGTAAAACTTAAGTACTTAATTGCAATAGATCAATTTAAATCTCTAGAGTTTAAAACATTTCGAACGTTTAACAAAAATATTAGAATTACTTCGCGAAAGAAATACGTTGAGCATAGAGTTAATAATTATTGCGGCAAGAGGACGAGAAAATATCTAGTACCACGTATTTTCAATGAGATATTTTCTGAAAACGAATGCGGTAATAAAGAAATATTTAAAAAGAAGTTAAAAGCGTAGTTGCTGGATAATTATGTGAATAATAATTAATATTGTCTTAAAGTTATAGTTTTAAATTAATTTGTTATTTTTAATGTGTTTAATTTAAAACATTTAAAATAATTTTTAATTATTTTAAATCTTTTAAAATAGTGTAAATTTAATTTTCCCATTTTTAAGTTTTTAAGGATTGCATTTGAAATTACAGTTTATGTGTATTTTAGATTCTTAAGGACAGTAGGTACATAAAATGTAAGAGGGTGATGTATTCGCCAACAAACTGCCCTGCAGTTTGGCGAAAGTTGTATAAAGAATAACCGACTGTATTTTTGTGTAATAAATAAATAAAAAATATTTAAATGGTGAATCTCACCATCATCCTTCACAGTTAGCTACCGTGGGTAAATATTTGTTTCAGAGAGCACAAGGGATCTGTGACAGAAAACATCTGGCCGCCGAACTTCAGCACGTCAAGCAAGTATTGCAAGACAACAAGCTTCGGGTCCCGCGACTACATCACAGTGACCGAGTGAAGCCAGCCACAGTCGAGCGTGTACCTGCTGTACTACCATATGTCAGAGGAGTCACAGACAAGGTTGGCCACATCTTGAAGCGAGCTTCTATTAAAACATACTACAAGCCGCCGAAGAAGATTAGTAAATTTTTACCATCCGTCAAGTGTAATATCCCTCTACAAGATGCAGGAGTGTACAAGTTAGATTGTGAATGTGGTCACTCTTACATAGGTCAAACAAAAAGATCCATAAAAACCCGCGTGAAAGACTGACGTGAAGCACCGACGCTCCTGGAAGTCTGCAGTCTGCGAACATGTTCAAGATCGTCCCCACCATTACATTCGATTTGATAAACCACAAATTCTCGCTAAAGAACACCGATTCCTACCAAGGATGATACGCGAGGCTATTGAAATTAAAAAACATCCAAATTTCAATAGAGAAGATGGATGGGTGCTGCCACCTGCTTGGGATCCTATAATTAACAAAATTAAACCCAAACCTAAGCATACCACTGCAAGACTTCATGATACTATAAGCTCGTTTTGCGTAAATCGGACCAAAAATTAATATTCAAAAACTGAAGGTAGCCGGACTAACTATGACATTGGGACGTCAAACATCTCAGTCCCCCCCTGACCATGGGTTCTGTAAAGCACCCGAAACGGCGGGAATTAAAAATAAGTAAAGTAGAGAAATAAACGCGATAAAATCCGTAAAGTTTTATTCAATGTGTAGTGTTCGCGTAAATTTAAGAAATCATTAATACATAATTGATTTTTTTTTTCATAACGATATTCTGCATATTTGCTACAATTTTTTTTTCTAAAACTCAGCTGACTTAACAATTTAAAGAATATTTAATGACACTAACTTACGCCGTCACCACCTGAAAAATAACTATTGACATAATATTTACCTGATGCTATTATATATCTCAAAAACATTAGCAGTCATGACTCTTTCATCGCCCACTGATATTTCTTGACTGTTGAAGTGTCTTTTGATATCAATTATAATATTTCTAATGTTTGTTGGTTGAGACACAGAGTGATGAGGACGTTTCAGAACAATTAATTGCAGCATACCATCAAGGAAGGTTACCCAGTTGTCGCAACAATATATTTTCGCTTCCGTAAGAGATCTGTTAGCACTGTGAATGCTTTGGAACTGGCCGCTAAAATTAAACACATTTTATTTAGTTTTACTTTATAAAAATTGCATCATATATACTCAATAAAATAAAGCAAATGAATTAATTTTCTACCCTACGTTAAATCACCTAAGTGATTTCTATGTTATTACTAATTTTGGATAACTTCTATACACCACAAAATGCAATTAATAAAAACATTAGTATTATAAGTTGATTACAGTGTTTGTACGAATTAATAATAATTATTCACAATATAATAAGAGTAAGGTTCACTAATCGAGTGGGATATAATGGTAAAATAACTGACCGAGTACCTAATTATCGTCAAAAGCACGAATATAAATGTCATCATCATCATCATTACATTACACAGCCTTACACAAGTCCAATGCTGAACACAGAGTTCTACCAAGGAATGCCACAAAGCACCTATTACCAGGTCGTCAAGCCAAGTCAAGTGCGAGAAGATAAATTTTTGCATTTTATTTTACATCTTGAAAAAGACATAAAACTTCAAATCGTGTATTTATGTTATGTTTTAACTTACCTATAATCATAACCCCTGTTGTGCAGCAATTGATAAATGTCGACCGATTTTAAATTAAGTTCTTCAGTTGAAGTAAATTCTAGTAAAAATGGTTTTATATCATCCACATCCCCCTCGATGTAACCTGTTGCAATCTTAGAATAATCGTCCATGACCTGTATATTACAATAAACAGCTATTAAGACCGATTTAAACGTCGATAAGTACAGTAGCGAGTTAACTTGCGGACCTGGCGAGTTAAGTAGAAAATCTCATTAGAACGGCAATTAGTAAGTTATGTAGCGTTATTATTTAAGTTGAAAGGGATAGCTGGCCGGTCTATTTTTTGGCGAGTTAAGTTCGAAGTGTTGCCCTCCCACTCGTCTTCCGCCACCCGCAAATAAGCTCGCCACACGCGTGAACCAGCGAGCTTAGTTCAGTGCATAAGTTGACAGGACACAACATGTTCGCGTTCGACCTTCAAAATATAAAATTGTACTTTTTAACTAAACTTGCCACAACGACATTTGAATGCTACTGTCAACTTTAACTTTAACAGTTTACTGTCAACTGCCCTGTAACTAAAATCGCTACTGTACTTGTACTTGTCGAAGAGTAAATTGGTTCTTAGGTATATGTGTCAATGATTGAAGTTATTTACTTCAATAAAAGATTAACCGTGTAGTGACAGTGGTAGAAATATTGTCCTCTGGGTATCGTAAGAGCGGCATAGGAAAAGGCAGCAGCATCTTCCTTTACAGATGCATCTAAGTCCCTAAGCCGGTGCACCAAATTTGACATTTGTTTTCAAACCACATACTTTACATTTCAGTTCATGTACTTCCTCGAGATTTTTTTCGTGAAACAGATTATATTTTAAACCTGCAAGTATTCATAATTAAGTTGCAATGGATAGCTATTTTTTTTAATTGCAGATGTCTGTGCGTGATAAGGTGGTGGCTAGGCGTCACCCTCATTCCACCTTTAAGGTGCCGTATGCGAGGACAAATCTGCTCAGCTTTGCGCCTATGTCACGTGCTTTAAAATTATTGAATATTATTTCCAAAGAAACAGACATTTTTATCACTGCAGCCTGGCAAAGTTCACAGAAGCGGCGCACAGGGTCTGTGAGATTTATTTTTAATAATTATTTTTCTTAATTATAATAGCATATATTTTTGACACTAGTTATAATTATCTGTTTTTGTTTGTTGTTGTACAGCATCGTCTTGGTCTTGTACTGTTATGGTGCTGTTACAGTTTCTATAATAAATAAATAAATAATGCCCTCCAGACCAAATTTTGTTTATAGAGGCCGTGCGTCAACGTAAACTAGCCTTCTGCGCAGCACAGAATTACAGTGACGAAGTGCATGTGCAAGCACAAGCACACTCTCTATTCCTTCACTCTCATAATCTGTTAGGACGGCGATCCGACACGAATGGAGAGAGATAAAGCGCAGGCCCTACGGCTTTACGTGCTTTCCGAAGCACGAGGGTGAAACACCGTCAACTTCCCTGGCTCCGGGTTGCTACTGAGAATCTCTTGGCAGAAAAACCCAATAACTAACGTTGGCCTTTCCTGAGAATTGAACCCATGGCCTCATGATCAGCAACCGCGTTTACGACCACTGGACCAACGAGACAGTCAAGCAAATAATTATAAAGTACTTGTAATAAAACTGAAATATTTAATAAGTTCTCACCTCGAAATACCCGGTACCTCTTAGAAAAGATACCAAAAGTCGTAACTGACGTTGATAATGAAGATTAGGCTGGGAATAAAGTTTAACATCGTGGTATTGAACTGACAATTGTTTTTTGGGCACCCCGATAGTCATCGCCAGTACATCCCAAACTGCAATTAATGCAGCTGCGAACGGGAATGTATTCTTTCCTATTAGTATCAAAATATGAATTTGAAATTTTGTCAACTAATATAAATTTTAAAGTAAAGCACAGATCACACAATATACTCAAACATTACTTATAAAATCCTAATTACTTACTACTTAATTTCTATTCACTAAATGATAATAGAAATGGCCTGTCCCTATAGCAATAGTTATCCCAATAGGGATAAAAATTAATTGTCTCATATTTTACATTTGTGAATAAACGCTTACTTAAATGAGGTATTTATTATAATTGGTACTTCATTTAAGTAAGGGTTTATCCATAATTGTAAAAATAAAAGCAAAGTTACTCAATGTATATTGTCTTTGCATACCAACAAGAAAGAAAGACGGAGCTCTGCGTACATTTTAAGGGACGCCGAACGAAACCAAGTCAGACAAATAAATTGAGCATGTTTCTACCATGCTACATTTGCATTTAAAATCATTTGCAACCAATGACATAGTTTTAGGTGTGCGTCCAGCAGTGGAACTTTACGAGCTATTAAAGAAATAAAGAAGAAAGATGTGCGCGTGAGTGCATATCTAGGACTTTAGCATGGTTTCTTTTTCTACAGTCCGTATATCTTTTACTATGATTTTCTTTGAAATGGGCATGGTGAGGTTTAGCTGTTAAGTAACCATTTCAGGGATTATTTTCTTTTAAGCCATAATAATTTAGCGTCTGTAAGTAATATTACTGGTACTACTACTGGTTAGGTTTTTCTACAATATCCTTCACAGATGGTATATTCTTACCAACGTGCAATTTGCTAAGTACTGTTCTGTTTACCAAACCGAAAGGTAAAGAAATAGTACAAAAAATATCTGTTAATCCCATTTTCTGTTTAGAAGTCCACCACGGTATTTTTATATAAAATTGAAGCAAAGGAACTAACAGTCATTCTGATGGTTAGTGTCTACCGTAACAACTATTAGCCTATAGATGACCGCCACCAACTTCAAGCAAATACAGCTAAGATGGAATATCTCACAGCCTGTAAATATGCGATATATCTATAGTACCGGTGAGAGCAGAATACAGCAGCACACGCACTAGTATGTGGTGGCAGAAATAGGAAAGAGGGAGGCACCTACTCCGACATACACGTAGGTAGTAAAGTAGTCTTTACACCAAGATACAGACATAGTTATTTGCCTTTTCTCTATTGGTTCTGCGTAGCGACATGAAATTTATTGTTGTAATCCGTACTGTTATGAGGTGTTTCTTGTTTGAAAAGTATGGAGCACATGTGTTACAGAATGTTGGACATTCATTTTAGTTTTCAGAAGGAACAATGTGTAGCGTTCTTTATTTGAAATTAGTTGTAGGTGTCAGTGGGCTGCAGTAGCCACTTGCATTCGGGTGAACTTTTTTTTTTTTTTTTTTTTTTATAGAAGAGGGGGCAAACGAGCATGTGGCTCACCTGATGTTAAGTGACTACCGCCGCCCATGATCAACCGCAACACCAGGGGAATTGCAGGTGCGTTGCCGGCCCTTTAGAAAGGAGTAAGCTCTTTTCTTGAAGGTCCCCAGGTCGTATCGGTCCGGAAAAATCACCGGTGGTAAATTATTCCACAGAGAGGTTGTACGCGGAAGAAAACTCCTTTTGAAACGTACAGTGGTGGACCGCCAAGCATCCAGATGGTGTGGATGGTATCGGGACGTTTGCCGTGTAGTGCGTTCACGAAATTTGGCGGCTGGGATTAATCCGAACAATTCCTCAGAGCACTCCCCGTGATAGATGCGATAAAATACGCAAAGAGATGCAACATCTCTTCGCAGCGCCAGTGAATCGAGCCGATCGGAAAACACTCGGTCGTCAAAGATTCGACCCGCTCTGCGCTGGATGCGGTCAAGTGGAAGGAGCTGGTACTGGGGAGCCCCAGCCCAGAGATGGGAACAGTATTCCATGCGCGGCCGAACCTTCGCCTTGTAAAGTTGCAGGCGGTGTGCCGGCATGAAATACTGTCCCGCTCTGCTGAGCACGCCAAGCTTTTTAGAGGCCAATTTGGCCTTCCCCTTCCAAGTGACCACGAAACTGCACGTCACTCGATATGTCGACGCCGAGGATTCCGATACTGGCTGAGGCAACAAGGGGAGTGCCTTGAAACTGAGGGGATACGACAAAGGGGTTCTTTTTAGCGGTTAACGCGCAAACTTGTGTCTTCTGGGGGTTAAACTGGACTAGATTTAGTCGCCCCCAATCCGAGACTCTGTCCAGCAGAGACTCGACTTCAGACACAAGTTTGTCCCGGCACTCAGAGACGTTTTCCCGAGAAATATTGGCTCGGCCGGTGTAAAGAGCATCACCAGTGCTGTCATCTGCATAGCAATGAATGCTACGGGTTTGCAACATATCATTGATATGCAGAAGAAACAGCGTTGGCGATAGCACGCAGCCCTGTGGAACACCAGCATTAATAAGCTTGCAATCGGAGCTTGCACCGTCTACAACGACCTTGATGCTCCGATCTGCAAGAAAACTGGTGATCCAATCGCACAATTTCTCGGGAAGCCCATAGGAAGGGGAGCTTCGAAAGAAGCGCTTTGTGCCAAACTCGATCGAAGGCCTTCGCAATGTCCAAACTAACGGCCAATGCCTCCCCCTTGGACTCTACTGCCTCCGCCCATCTGTGAGTTAGGTAGACCAGAAGATCACCAGATGACCTACCACGGCGAAAAACCGTATTGGCGGTCACTAATCAGCTGGTGATCCTCAAGGTACCTCATGAGCTGGCAGTTTACAATGAACTCCATTGTTTTGGAGAACAAGGAGGTGATGGCGATAGGCCGGTAGTTGGACGGGTCTGAGCGGTCGCCTTTTTTAGGGATCGGGTGGACGAAAGCCGTCTTCCATGATTTTGGGACTACGCCTAGGGAGTAGGAGTACCGGAAAAGACGCGTTAAAACCGGTGCCAACTCTGGAGCACACGTCCTCAGCACAATTGGGGGGATTCCATCAGGCCCACTCGACTTATGGATGTCCAGGGAGAGGAGTGCTTTGCGAACCGAGCGCTGAGTGAACTGCACTTCCGGCATGGAGCACTCACACCGCGGGATGGTCGGCGGCGTACTCCCCCCGTCATCGAGAGTCGAGTTAGACGCAAAGAAAGAGCCTAGAAGATCGGCTTTCTCCTTTGCGGTGTGGGCCAGTGAGTCGTCCTCCCTGTGCAGAGATGGAAGAGATGGCTGACAGAAATTCCCTTGGACAGCCTTGGCGAGAGACCAGAATGCACGGGTTCCAGAAGGAAGACGAACTAGTCTCTCGCCAATTCTGCCTATGTGCTCTGACTTTGCCTTGGCAATGACTCTTTTGAAGGACCTAGAGGCGGAATTATACTTCTTTTTTAGAGCGCTGGTGTTTACATCCCTGGACGCTGATGCGTCAGCCCAGGCTCGGTAGCACTCCTGCTTATAGCATGATGCTATTTTACAGGAGCGACCAAACCATGGCTGAGATTTGCCTCCAATGGGCACCACAGAGGAAGGAATAAAAAGTTCCATACCCTGAAGTACCACATCAGCGACAGAATCCGCAACAACGTTGGGATCATCCGGCGAGAAGCAAACCCGCCCCCAAGGGTAGGATGCAAAGAAAGACCGCATCCCATCCCAATCGGCTGACCTATAGTGCCAAACACGGCGGCAGCCTGCAGAATGCAGCCGCGGTTTCAGCGTGAGTGGCACCACACTCCGGACAAGACAATGGTCCGAGGAGCCTAAAGGGGCGTCAACGGAAATCTGATATCCGTCCGGGTGAGAGGTCAGCAGAAGGTCCAACAGGGAAGGTGCATGATCCTCCACATCTGGAATCCGCGTAGGCGAAGTAACCAGTTGTGTCAGACCATATGCCAAGGCAAAATCATGAACAGATCTCCCCGCATGATCGGTTAAACGTGAACCGAGCCATTCGGCGTGATGGGCGTTAAAGTCGCCGAGGATCACGATCTCTGCGGAGGGGATCTGCTGTAGCAACGAATCTGCAGCCATTTGGACGTGGTCGAAGAGTCGGTCTGTTTCGGCATTACCGCTATGGGACCTATAGAGGCACCCGTAGACGCGCGGATGGTCGTCGCTGTCTACGCGTAGCCAAAGGATGGACAGGTCCGAACCTTCAAGTCTGCCGAGGCGTCGAGAACAGATGTCCTCTCTGACGTAAACGCAAACTCCAGCCCGAGGCACAAAGGAGTGTTCCAGTTTGTACCCCGGGCAGGAGAGATACGAGACATCAGCCGGAGAGGACACCTGCGTCTCGGTCAGAAAGAGCAGAGCCGGCCTCGCCGTCTCGAGATGGTAGTGGACGGCGTTTAGGTTAGAGTGAAGTCCCCTGATATTGCAGAAATTCACGGACAGCGTGGCAGGGGTCGCCTTGGTCTTGCTGCTCCGTTTGCCCCGAGCAGTTTTAGTCTTGAGCGGAATATTGCCCCCCCAGAATACGCGGGGCAGCCTGAGCACCCACGCTCAGAAGTGGAGAAACATGGTCGTGGATGCTCAGCGAGGGATTCTCCAGGGGTGCTGGTACCCTCCTGGGGTAGTCTATCATTTAATTCCGCTACCATGTTGATGGGGGGGGGGGGGATTTGGGCCTCCGGCCACCTGCACTCACCAGACGAAACGCGGAAGCAGAGCTTCCACTTCACGCCGGTATTCTGTGAGGTCGTGGTACCACCCCGGCTTGAGCCGGCCCATACGTGCGACAGCAAAGCTGCCGCGTGGCTCTACCACTGTTAGAAGCTTGTTTGTCAGTTTAAAATGTTTGTAGACCTTTAACGGTGTAAGGAAGATGTAAGAATTTTGTCTACCCTGTATCGTCCCATGGTAGACTACTACATTTCCTGGTTTGTTTCCCCCTGCCGGAAATGGTCAACGGGTTCTTTCTCATAACAAATAGAAAAAGAAAAAGTGCAGTAGCCACTACCCGCCCGCCAAGCGTGGCAACTGTGGCTAATATCACCCTCATGTGATAATCTAAGAGGAGGCCAATGTTCAGCAGTGAATTTTGATAGGGTGTAACATGCTTAAACTTACTTTTGAATATTTTTTTATTTTACTAATAATACCCAAAAAATTAATTTCTTCATACCTCGTAAAACGTTTCCAGTCAAATAGTTATTTTCTACATCATGTATCGAATAGACAAGTTTACACGATGCTGTGAATTTTCGATTTGCTGACGCGTACAGTGGTAAATCCCTACGAATAAAGGCGTTTTGTGAAAATAATAAGCATGTTATATTATAGTAGGCATTATATTATATTACACGTTATATAGCTAAGCGCTTCTCGTAAATTTCACAGTACGCGTGCAATCTGTGTTCAAACATTGCGAGCACCAATGAAATTGCTGCAATTTTAAGTGCTGAATTACAGTCATCTAGGCCTAAGCTGAGTTCTGCATTTGTGTAAGTGCACACAAATAGTGTTGGTGTGACATCGTGCCGCAAGATGGCAGCACTTCTGGTTGGAAGAAGCCAATTTCTAAAGGAAATCGTTAAATAATAGTTCATGCCAGTGGAGAGGACGGTTTCATACCAAATGCACTGCTGGTGCTGATGTTTAAAGCAAATCAAAAAAGTGGTAATTACCATAACAATATGAAAGCAGAAAACTACACGAAATGCTTACAAACGCAATTAATTCCAAATTTAAAATCCAATAGCGTTGCAGTGGTAGACAAAGCACCTTACCACGATTCGTTAAAAAATTGCGCTCTAAACTCAAATAGTCGTAAACAAGATATGATTAACTGGCTCAAGTATCGCAGTATTGATCACTCTATATCGATGCTTAAGCCACAACTGTATCAATTGATACTGCAAAATAAACAAATATTTATTGAATATAAAATTGATACTTTACTTAGTGAACATGATCACAGCGTCTTTTGTCCACCACCCGAATTTTTAACCCAATTGAAAATATATGTGCAAAGATAAAAGGATACGTGGCGAAAAATATGGACGCAATAATGTGATTAACGAAAGGAAACAGTTGACACTAACACTGTAAATGAATGGAAAAATGTATTTTATCGAGCAATAAAAGAAGAAAAGAGGTTTCATAGTTACGTCGCCGTTTTTGATGATATGATGGAACGATTTGTTATTAACACAAACGACACATTAGACGAGAGTGATAATGAAAATGATGAAGATGCAATGTCTGGTGTATAAGAATTGTTATAACTTTTCATATTGATAATTTTATTTATTGATCTCCAGTCTACTACTTTTTTGTCTGAATCTTCTTTTGGTGATCATTCACATATGGAAAGCTCAGTATATGTCTCGCGAACTGTACCACGTGGTCGGCGACGAAAGAAAATTTAAAAAATTCCTCCAAAATGCATTAAAGTAGCGCTGTGAACTAATTTCTCCATCATCATTTCGAAAATGAAAGGAGGCTTTGCCCGGAACTATATAATTACATAATATTAAGCATTAGATAAAGGTTGTAAAACTTACCACTTTTCATGATGAGCCCATTCCACCAGATGAGATAACAATGGAGTTCCAGTTGAAACAGGAAATTCGATCTTGGGATAAAGCGCTTGCACTTTAGGATTGTATCCTTCCATGAATAATCTGAATGAAAACGATTTTATTTAAATAATGCTTTTTTAGAAGTAAGGTATATTTGTAAATAAGAAGATTCTAAATATAATTTTATTTATTTATATTTTTCCTATAAATACATAATTATGATTACGTCATTATTACGTCGTGATTACGACAGAGGAAAACTGATACAGTATATGGGCAGCAGCATTTTTCTTATAACAATATAACACAGTAAAAAGCTGCGGTTACATACACGCCTGTCAAGCGTGGCAAATATGGCAAATATATTCCACTTTCAAAAAATACATGGGAGAGGGGGAGGTTTAGAATTGGACTTTTGATTTATGTAATTAAATGATGATTTTTTGATATCGATGATGATGAACTATCTTAAACGTTGAAAACGTTAAACGTTGTGTAGCTGTAGACTGCTTAGATCAATTTACAGGCTGATAAAGAGGACGAAAACCTGCTTTGGTTGAACATTTTTCACTTGCTACACATTAGAATGTTCCATATTTAAAGGTAATTTATAACACTCGTGAGTACTAACTTTCCAATAGCTTCTAATAAGTGTTGCACGTTATCAGTATGTCCCCGACGCGTGAGTGGAATGTGTTGACAAGAGTCTGCTAAAGACCGTTTCAGAATCGCTTGAAGTAAACCATGTGGTGCTATTTCCACAAGCACCGCATTGGATGGTACTAATCTAGAAGTTTCTTCGAACAGCACGGAATTCTAAAAAAAGAAAAGTAAATTGTGAAACAAAACTAAACTAAAGTAAACGTGGATCGACAGCTTATTATGGCTTTAGCACGAATGGGTTGCCTCAATCGGGGAAGGACCAGGCTAGCACAGAATACCAATATAAAATAGCAGCATAACAGTGATATAAATGAAAGGCTCCTGTTGAGACCGACGAGACATTATGTTTTAGTTCTCAGAAGTACATTTATCACATGGACTGTGTTCGTTTGTCACCAAGAATCTTCAAAAAAATTTCAAAAAAAAAGACTGATCGGATTTATATAATATGCACATTGTTTAAAATAATTTTATTCGAAAATGAATTGAGATCTATAAATTGACCTACACTATTTAAAGACAATTTATAGAATCAGGCGTTACTTTGCGGAAATCCATTGTAATAAAAAATGTATTACTTTGCAACCTTCCGCTAACTAAATACAATGACGTATCTTACCTAGATTGAAGAGCACCTCCCGCCCTCCCTCAATTGCATGCACTAACTCCGTCACTACTAGACCCAGCACCACTACTCCCAACACCACTACTTGGACTACTTAACACCACTATTCCAGGTAAGACACACCATCGACGATAATACGACACGTGTTTCGCCTCTACACGAGGCATCTTCAGGTGATGTAGACTCTACGGCAACTGACCGCTAAGTCGCTTTTTAGTTAAGTATTTTTTTTTATTTTACTACACTATTTTCTCTCTCTCTCTCTCTCTTCTTCTTCTTCTCTCTTTTGTTTTCATTTTTGACCAAATTATCTTATCTAACCACAACCCAAATTTCTCAAATTAATTTGCAACCAAAGAACTTACAAGCAGGTTGTTGGTGTGATATTCCGCAGAGGAATATTTAGCCATGGGCTCATTCCATTTTTCTTGCGGCACTGAAGTCGATACCCATTTTTCGCTGCGGAGTTTAGGCGATTTTATGACTTCACTTAAATGTTTCAGTAGTTTGGGGCCTAGAAATCAAAATAGGAGTTACGTATTAAATATTAATACAAATTACTCGAGACAAAATAGATGATATATCAATATAATTTTTATATAACAATAATAAAATGTGATCAAGGTCATATTTAAAAAAAGCCATCTGCGGTACAAAAGTGTGTAAGCAAGCACAGATGTATATTCTATTTCCTCAGTCTCGTTGTCCGAAGGAAAGGCACGACTGCAGAGAAATCTAGCGCAGGGCTATCGCCTATACGTGCTTTCCAAGACATGAGGGAAATCAAATAACTGTTTTTAAACCGAGGATTCCGTGGAGTACGGGGATTCTAATCTAAATTGTACGTCGTTACGACCACCAGATCAACGAGGCAGTCAAGTGACAGCGACTTAAAAACCTCAAAGGTGCTAATTCAATATTCACCACTTTTATACACACAGGTTTTATAAATACTTATAACTTATAACACAACGTCACAGTTAGAAACGATCGAAAAGTTATTTTAAAATCTTGTTTCCTCATAATTTTTACCATTTGTTGCAAAGCTTCCCATGACATTAACCATAAAACAACGATATTGTTATAGTATGCGCTAAATATCCGAAATCAATATTGGATGGTTGTGAAGGGAACTTTTTCGTCGTTATATCCGGAAGTCGTTACAGGCAAAGGTAAAGAGATACAGGCACGTACACATGTATAGTTTATATTCATTTATTATTGAAAATATTTGCACACAGAGTTATTCACTGGTACATTTCAAAATGCTACTCAGAATATCACTTTGTAACTGAACCATAAATTTAACTCCGAAACGTACACGCTTCCCTACCTACTTAGCTGATATCTATAAACAAAAGGTAAAGGTCTCCAGACTTGCTGACTATCTGTGTGGATGTAAACAAAAGATAAGAAATGATTGTGAAAGAAAGAAATCTTTGTGTCTTTGGCTGCCAACTCCAGTTGCTATATTATTAATATTTGTTACGAATGAAATAGTCGCTACACCTGAACTCGACGTTACATACAAAGTCGCTATAACCACATGAATTTTGCACTAAAGTATGCTTTAAATTCAAGGGACTTAGATTTAACGTCGTTATAGGCAAATGGTCGCTACAACCAAGGTTGTAATAAATAAAATCCAGTGTATGTATAAATAAAGAGATATTTCTTTGGATACTCTTTGCAAAATACAGGTACAGGTACAGTTACAAGTGGTTCAATATAAGTACCTCGAATATTATATTTCAACAAACGAGAAAAAAATAAAAAGGCTGAACTGATCATAGGCAATATCGTATGATCTAATAGTGTTTTTCTAAAATAAAATTATCACCTGTAAAAAAATTAAAAGCCGATTTCAATTTTTTTAGTCCCAAAGGACAATGGCAAAATAATAGTTGATGGAATTATTAAGTGTCTACTTATGTTACCATTACAGATATCAATAATATTTACTATGTTTTATCTAATCAAGCCTATGCCTATCGTAGTCTGAAAACAAGTGATCATACATAATTTAAAACTAAATTTACTAGTTGCTGTGGAAAAATTGTTAATGAAGTTAATAAGCGCCTACGTATGTTGCCATTACAGATATTAATAAAATAATTTACTATGTATTATTAAATCAAGCTCATAGCCTATCAAAGTCTCGAAGAAATCATCATACATAATTCAAAACTCAATTGAATAGGTGTTGTAGTTGTAATTATGGAGTGTAGAGATAAGGAGAACAAACTCTGTATAAAAGAAGTGTCCGTAGAAAAGCGCTAAATAAGAGGGTGGTGCCACTGTAGCTACAGTGTAAGAACTTTTTATAATTTTTTATTGCACAGACTTTCAACAAAATTCTTTTTAAAATAATTATATTATTGTTTTCAAAATTTTTATTTTCAAAATCACGTATTTTACGGCGATTTTCCATACCCTCTAGCTACCGTTTTTGAACCGTTATTTACTGCTTACAGATGGACATGGTTTCGACTGTTCTTCTATGGGAGATTGTCCTCCTTACCTCTATACTACGTGGTTGTAAAGATTCGTCAGTTAAAACAGGCATAGGTCTTATACCATACAGCTGAGTTTGATGTGTATTTTATTCAGAAAACTCTTCTATATACACTAATGTGCTCTCTAAGGGTTCCCTCTATGCTAGTTTACCCTATATAACATATACGAAAATTCAATTGACTAGTTGTTGTTGTTGTAACGATTTGCCAATTAAAGCGTTTTATACCATACATCCTAATCTAATGTGAATTTTGTTTAAACTGGAATATCTTTAATTCCTGATTTTCTGCAGTACTATGACCGAAGAGAAAAAAATTTCGTGATTTCAAACTCTATATTTTTACATATTTGTATATGTAGACGCAAGAAAAAAGTGTCAACTAAAATTTTTTTGAGAGTTCACCATTATCCTTCACATATAATTAAACTACATTTACATATAATTAACTTTACATATAATTAAATTAACAAAAAAGAATCATCAAAATTGGTTCACAATATGCAAAGATATCGCGCAACATGGATACAAAATCATACACTTACGTACACTCGAATTAGTTACCTCCTCCTTCTTCATACCGAAATTCCGAAAATATCATATAATAACAAAAGCTTGCTTAAATAATTTACTAAAACTCACCTGCTTCTGCAATATACCGTGAGTGATAGGCAATATTTGAACATGGGACCTCCTTTGCAAATATATTTTTAGCAGTTAATTGAGCTACGAATTCCCCCATTACATTTGCGGGTCCTGAAATTGTACTGGAATCTGGTCCATTATGGCATGCAACCTCGATACTAGGAGGGCACATCTTCAATATCTATAACAGAATTTATTGTATTGGCAACTCGGAAACATATAGGGTGAGGAAGATATGGGCTACTACGTAATGCATTAAGACTGTAGCACGAATTGGTGGCTTTACGGAAGAAGCACACGCTAGCACAGTAAGCTTACGTAAAATATCAGCACGGTGCTGTTGTATTTCGTATGGTGATTGACTAATAGTGAAGATACTTTTAATTAATTTACAAAACAAGGAGCATTTAACGCGCACTTACGCACTATTAATAGATTGGCTAAATATATTGACCAGCTGTATTGCATCGTGCGTGAGTTCAATAGAGTAGGATTGTTTATAATTTGTTATAATTAAGTATCACATTTTTGTTAAGCTTAAAATAATTACACTATCATACTAGGTAATTGTTATATTGTTATGGTAGTTGTAAGTTTCAAGAAATACATAAATAAAAAATCTGTATTACCATTCCTAATAGAAAATAGGATAGGCGTCGAAGAGCAACAGCAACCCCTCACAACCAGATAGACTATGTATTTAATAATCACAATTTACTTTTATGAAACATGTTTCATACAAAAAGCAGTATGTAATATAAACGCTCTTAGTGTAAAAAAGCCACATAAATTACAAAAATAATTTAATTTCGGATTTTAATAAGGACTACCTTTATTCACCATCTCTTCTTTCTTCTTCTTCAATACTCTACAATCATCACCATCATCAGCCTATAAAAGTCCACTACCGGACACGGGCCTTTAATGTGTGACTGTCTAACTAAGAGAGAATTTGTCTTTGTCGTAACGCTTGGCCAGCAAGTGGACGTTCGAATAATCTATTACGCAATAATCTATTGCCAAGTTTTTAGCCTCTCCCATGTTCAAATTGGTTTTTTTTTCAGTCCACACATGCACATTATCCTGTTTTTAATAGGGTAAATTTCCTTTAACCTCTATATTTACAAGCGAATTATTCAATAAAATAGTAGTGGTAGATACCGGTCAAATATTTTAGATAGAGCTATTTTGAAGTGGTTATTATTTAGTCATCACTCACATACCAAAAGATTTTTATCACACTTTGTGAACTATACACCACATAAAGTAGGAAAACTGCTTTATATACGCTTCTTTAACCGTTTGTAATAGAAGAGGGTACAAACGAGCATGCAGCTCACCTGATAATAATAATAATAATTTATATACATTTATATAAATATATATACAATTTATATACATGGCTAAAGAGAGTCCTCGAGCTGTACAAGAATGACTGTACAGTTAAAGATTTCCTCGGGCAGTGTATGGGGCAGTGGAGTACGATCCTTTGTTATCTGAGCGAGCGGATGATGGCTGCGGAGAACCACATAAGGATAAGAAGGGGTATATTCCAGGGCCGATTGTCTGAGTCCAATCTGGTTTTGCTTCTCTCTGAACCCTCTCAGTACCTCATTGGAGAGCTCCGGGAGAATATTTCAGCTATGGAAGGGAGGGACAAAAGTGACCCACCTTTTCTATATGGATGACCTCAAGTTATTCGCCTCCAGTCGCTCCCATCTTATAGAATTGCTAAACATCACTTGTGAATTTAGCAATTCTATTGGAATGGAGCTGGGGACAGATAAGTGTGCGGTCCTCCATGTTGAAAGGGGAAGGGTTGCTTACTCTGAGGACTTATCCATGCCCGTCAACTTAAGGACCCTTTTCGAGGCTGAATCATACCGATACCTGGGTATGTCACAGAACATCTCAATGCAGCCTCTCCGGATCCCTGACTTTTGTTTCTCCCCTGTTACTCAGGATGAAATTCAAAAAGCTCTGTTAGCCATTAAATCCAAGGCTGTGGGTTTTGATGAAATTAGTAAGCAAATGGTGTCTATGATTCTTGTATTCCAGCTATAACACATATTATAAATTATTCTCTGGACTCAGGTCGTCTGGCCTTCTGCATGGAAAAAGGTGCGAAAGCGTTCCGTAGCCCTGCCAATAGAAGGTGGAAACCCGTCCTTGCCCCCCGGAGGCGGGTATGCGTAGGCATTTCCCCATGTTAAAAAAAAAAAAGAAGACCTCTTCCTAAAATACCTAATCCTGTTTTCCCTAACCATTTTCGTCCTATTTCAATTCTCCCATACCTCTCTAAAGTTCTGGAAGCCTGTGTTTTTAAGCAAATATCTGTATTCGCTGCAAAACATAACCTGCTGAATGAATTTCAATCGGGGTTTCGCTCAGGTCACAGTACTACCACTTCGCTTATCAAAGTCACAGACGATATAAGAAAGGGCTTAGATTAGCAAAAATTAACAGTGGTGGTGTTTATTGACTTTTCAAACGCTTTCAACACAGTGGATCATGGTATCCTCCTATCCATCCTTAAACACCTTAAATTTTCATCCCCAGCCTTGGAATGGTTTTCTTCTTATATTCGCGGTCGCCAGCAATCGGTTCGCTCAGGTCAGCGGTTTTCTGCATGGGCTGAAATTGAATCTGGTGTGCCGCAAGGCGGAATACTTTCTCCTATTATGTTTTCCTTATTTATAAATTCTATCTCCTCAGTTTTAGATTGTTCGTACCATCTGTATGCGGATGATCTCCAGCTTTATGTACAGTCAAGCTTAAATAATCTTAACTTTGTAATACACAAACTAAATGATAACCTGGAAGCCATAAGAGAATGGTCATGTAAATATGGCGTTTCTGTTAATCCTGCCAAATGCAAAGTTGTAATATTCGGAAGTTCGCAATTATTGGCTAAGGTTGATTATGGAAATCTCTCTCCTGTAATTTATAATGGAAGTTTGATTCCATACTGTGATTCCATAAAAAATCTTGGCCTGTACATGGATAAAACTATGACCTGGAAATTGCAGATCTCTGAAGTTAGTCGTAAAGTTGTTGCTACCTTGCGTTCCCTTTATCGTCTTAAAAATTTCCTACCTTTCAAAACCAAACTTACGCTGGTTCATTCCCTTATTCTACCTATTATCGACTATGCCGATGTATGTTACCCAGATCTGTCAGAAAATCTTCTAAACAAGTTGGAGCGCCTTCTTAATAATTCCATAAGATTTATTTTTGGTTTACGTAAGTATGACCACATATCATCCTATCGTTCAAAGCTTAAATGGCTACCTATACGTCAAAGGCGATGCTCTAGAATTTTACTTGTACTTTATTCAATTTTAAACGATCCAAGGTCGCCTTCTTATCTTAAGGATAATTTTCATTTTTTTCATCCGATCGACGGTCGAACATCCCGACAGTCAAACCGTCTGAGGTTAAGGTTTCCACAGCATAAGTTAAATTTTTTTTAGGTCGTCTTTTACGATACAAGCCATACAACTTTGGAACACCCTCCCCAACGATATTAAGAATGCCACAAATAAAAAAGTCTTCAAAGTTCTTCTCCGACAACATTACCTAAAGGAAACTACTAATTAACATTATTTTCCTTCATTTTTGTCTTTCTTTTCTTCTTTTTTACTTCAGATATTTATTTCATTATATATTATTCAAACATCATATTATATATATCATTCATTTGTATATTTATTTACGAAGTTTATAAGCATGTATATATATATATATATATATATATATATATATATGTATGCCTACACTACGCCTACCGGTACGAGGCTACCACTCAAGAACCTTTCTTCCCCATCGGTTATCGGTTCTTCGAGCTATATGGCCGGCCCATTGCCACTTCAGCTTACTAATCCGTTGGGCTATGTCGGTCACTCTGGTTTTACTGCGGATATCCTCATTTCTAAGTCTATCACACAGAGAAACTCCGAGCATAGCCCTCTCCATAGCTCGCTGAGCGACCTTGAGCGTCCTCATACGGCCAGCAGTGAAGGACCACATCTCAGATCCGTAAGTCATCACTGGCAACACGCACTGGTTGTACAATCTAGTTTTTAGAGATTGAGGTATACCTGACGAGAAGATATGTCGTAATTTCCCGAACGCTGCCCAGCCGAGTTGAATCCGTCGATTGACCTCTCGGTCGAAGTTGGACTTACCTAGTCGTACTATTTGTCTCAGGTAAACGTACTCGTCAACAACTTCGAGCATAGTGCTCCCAACAACTACCGGCATAGGTGTGACGTGGACATTAAACATGATCTTTGTTTTGTCCATGTTCATCTTAAGACCTATCCGTTGGGAGGCACTATTGAGGTCATTGAGCATAGTGCTTAAGTCCTCCAGCGATTCTGCCATAAGGACTATATCGTCGGCATATCGAAGGTGAGTGATGTACTCGCCATTGATGTTAACACCGTATCCTTTCCAGTCCAGTAGCTTTGAAAACGTCTTCCAATGCAGCGGTGAAGAGTTTCGGGGATATAACGTCACCCTGTCTTACACCTCTCTGCAGTTGGATAGGTTTCGAGCTCTGGTTCTGTACTCGGATAGCCATTGTAGCCCTACTGTACAAACACTTCACCACTTCGATATACCGACAGTCAACTTGGCACCGCTGAAGGGACTGTAGCACCGCCCAAATTTCGACGGAATCAAAGGCTTTCTCATGGTCCACATACGCCAGGCAAAGTGGCAGATTGTACTCTTCAGTCTTCTGTACAATCAGCCGTGGGGTATGTATGTGGTCTATGGTACTGAAGCCTTTTCGGAAACCGGCTTGTTCGGGAGGCTGGAAGTCGTCGAGTCTGCGTGCGAGACGATTCGTAATGACTCTCGGAAACAGCACGTAGACGCGGCTCAGAAGGGAAATCGGTCTGTAGTTCTTTAAGAGAGCGTTGTCGCCTTTCTTAAAGAACAAGACCACCGCACTTCTGCGCCACGCCTCTGGAGTAGTGCCACCATGGAGGACGGAATTGAAGAGCTTCTGAAGGACTTCATCCGGTGTTCCACCCGCTTTCAGAAGCTCCGCTGTAATTCCATCCTCGCCTGGGGCCCTTTCCGTTTTTAAGGTCCTGGAGAGCCATTCTAATCTCGCTCATACTGACGTCCGGGATATCATCGGAATAGTGTCGGGTAAGACTTGCTCTTGGATCGTTACTCACACTTGCGTGTGGCTCCAACGATGATGTGTACAACTGCCCATAGAACCTCTCAATCTCCCTCAAAATCTCAGGTGTCCCGGAAATGATGCTGCCACACTCAGTCTTCAGCTTTGACAGTTGGGTCTTACTGGCAGACAGATCTCTGGCAAAGACTTTGGAGCCCTGGTTCCGCTCGATCGCTTCTTTAATACGAGCAGTATTAAAGTTGCGTAAGTCTCGCCGCATGCATTTGGATATCTGTCAGTTCGGTTGCCTGTATGCTGTCAAATCTGTTGACGATTGCAGCCTCATCTCCCGTCTAACAGCCATGAGATTAAGAGTGTGATCGGAGAGTTTTTGTGTTCTTCTGCGGCCGGTCTTGCAGAACTTAGCTCCGACCGCATGGACAGTTTCCAAGAGCTTGTCATTCATATTTGCACACTGCATTGCAATCTTGTAGGCACCGAAAGTGGTTACGTAACTCGAGCTGAAAGTTTTCGGGATTCTGGATTAGAGCACGAGGGGGACGGAGCGTTGACTTCATTAGACGAGACCTCTCCAACTTAACGTTTAGGTTCAGTGTGCCTCTAACCATTCGGTGATCGCTGCCAGTTTCACCCTTGCGATCACTGAGACATCACTGAACAGTTGGCGTCTGGTCGTCATAATGAAGTCAATCTCATTTTTTGTCGAACCGTCGGGGCTCGACCAGGTCCACTTCCTGTGGGGCCGCTTCTGGAAGAATGAGTTCATCATAAAGAGTCCCTTTTTCTCCATAAAGTCGGCCAGCTGCTGGCCCCTTCGGTTCCGTTGCCCTACTCCAAATTTCCCTACCTTCAGATCACCGTTTTATCTTGTGCCTAGTTTTGCGTTTAAGTCTCCCATCAACACCGTGTAGTGGGTTTTGGAAGACTTCATGTCTTTGGAAATATCCTCATACATTTCCTCCACCTCCTCATCGGGATGTGCCGAGGTTGGTGCGTAAACCTGTATGACCTTCAGCGAATACCGTTTGGTGATTCTGAGCATCAGGTACGCGACCCTCGTCGACACACTCCCAATCTTTACAACGTTGTTGACGAGAGACTTGTGGACGATAAATCCGACACCTCCTTGGGACAGATGGTCGCCCTCCCGGTGATAGAATAAGTTGCCGGATTCGAGAATCACCGTGTCCTCCCCCTCTCTTCGGACCTCGGATAATCCTATAATATTCCAGCGCAACTTGTCTATCTCTTCTTCCAGTTCCAGGATCTTCTCGTCAGTCCTCAGGGTGCGTGCGTTAAATGTTGCCAGGTCGAGTCGTCGTAGGTGGCAACCGAACCTCCACCGGAGATTCTTAGCACCCCCTGCCCCGCCGTTACCATGGTCGCCCTCCTCCGGTTGTTCGGCGCTTTCTAACTCTGAGTACTTGCACAGGCACAACCTAGTAGCCAGAATTCTACACCAGGAGCTCGCTCTGAAATACGATCTGGTGGACCGGAAATTGCTGTATTACAAGTACTTGATATTTTTGGTAGATATTACCATTCCATATGACGAGAACCTCGTGAAAGCCGAAACAGATAAGCAATCAAAATATCTGGACCTGGCTCACGAGGTGACCATGTCGGTCACCTCTGTCTGCCGACCGAAATTATTCCTGCATTCGTCTCTGCGAATGGGCTAATCTCAGTTAGCCTCTCAGGTCATCTGAGGCGACTGGGACTCCGTGACGGACCGCTCCGGGCTCAAATGCAGAAGGCGGTCCTACTTGATACTGTCCGCATCGTCCGCCGGTTTCTTTCCCTTTCCTTCTTACCCTCGGCCGTTTGGTCTCCCCTGCCGAGGGCTTCCATCTGGTTGGGCTTTTATTTATTTTTGTATTCTTATATTTATTTTATTTTATTGATATTTATATATATTTATCTTTTCATTTTATCGTTATATTCATTTATAGTTATATATTTTTAGAACCCAACCGATGAGAAAACTATATAGATACGCCCCATAATAGTTTATTTTAATAAACTGTACAAATTATTGCAATAAGTCTTAATTTAAAAATAGTCTACAATAACAGGCACCTGAACTAGGGTAAAACTTGTTTCTCAGGTGTATGTGCTAAAAGATACATTAACAAATATTTTCTGTTTCTTACATAAAATGAATAACATATAAACTATTTAATAAGGGTTATTTGGGTAAAATATATTATCTTTAATTTCATTATGATATTAATTAACTTAAAACAATCAGCAACTTCACCGTATCATCGTATGACAAATTTTGTAACCATTTTCGAAATACATTTTTACAGTCTGCCATTTTTAATGGACATATGATGATAAGTGATTACCACCGCCCATGAACAACCTCAGCACCAGAGGAATCGCAAGTGTGTAGCCAGCCTTTTAGAAAGGAGTAAACTATATTCTTAAAGGTCCCTAAATCATCAGTGCGGAAAAATCGCCGGTGGTAAGTGATTCCAACCAGAGGTTGTGAGAGGAAGAAAACTCCCAATAAAATGCACAGTGATGGACTGCCAAGCATCCAGATGGCGTGGATGGTATCGTGAATTTTGTCACAACGTGCGTTCGTGAAATGTGGTGGCTGGAATTAATCCGAACAATTCCTCAGAGCACTCCCCACGGGAGATTCGGTAGTAAATGCAAAGGGATGCAACATTCCTTCAAACTTATTCTATTGATACACAAACGTAAATTAGTAATTTTTATACCTCTTGATACCCAATGCCAACTGCCGCCATGGAACCACGAATAAATGGAGTTTGCACTGACACAAGACCACGATAGTAAGCCGCAAGTATCATCTCTTCTGCAGTGAAACATCCATCTGCGTACGCACATCCTAATTCGCCAACACTGTGACCTAAAATAGAAGTTAAATAAATTCGGATTAGTAATTATATTAAACCCATAACAAATAAAGACTTCTCTTTCCCTGTAAGTTTAACTTTTTTGTAATTTATTTATTAACGTTGCATATCACTAAATTTTAAGACATTTTAATAAACTAATCTTAAAATGTACTTGATTATTTGAGCCATAGGTTTGGGTTTAAAAGACATTTATTCTCCTAAATACATTTTATACGCCACTTACATAAGAACATAAATAAAAGTAAATCTAAATAACAAAATTCGTTGTCGTACCTATGTTGTTGAAAAATAAACAACATTAAAAACAGCTATCGACGAAAAATCTATACAAATAAAAGAAAAGTTAAATTATGGTATAGCACCACAATACTAAGGCCAGGAACAAACCAGTCCAACGCACTCAGATAGATATTTTTGTGATTATATGATTTGCTAGTCGCTTTTTTAATACATTGAACGAGTCTACATTTTTTATTTCCGAGGGTATCTTATTAAAAAATGCCATAGTAAGCAAATACGACTAATGATATGTCAGACCAACAAAAAAAGATAGATGGAACGCTACATACATTATTGTGATTCTGAAACAATGTTCAACTTCTTGACACGCACTAATGCACACATCTTTCCTTTTTCTTTCTCTATCAGCCAGTAAAATTTACTGCTGGACACACAAATATACACCTAAAACTATGTTGTTTATTCCGAATGATTTAAGATTGGGTTACTTGAAATGTACGCCGCTCTCCGTTTTTCTTCCTGTGTTAGTCTGAGCATAACATAAGTAATTCAACCAGCTCATAACATTTTACCGATGATTTTATCTGGCACTAGTCCCAGCTCCCAAAGGATGTCAGTGAGTCCAATTTGAATGGCCGCTATTCCGACGAAAGAGTTTAGAATGTGGTCGAAAGTAGATTTATCGGGTGAAGTGATAATATGTACAATGTCAACGCCTTTGGGTTCCAAAACTTGACGGCATCTAGCAATCAAAAAAATATTTTAAGATCATCTTCATAAACATTGATAACAATAATGATTTCTTATATTTTAACACTACACATTTAAATAATAATTTAAATTGGTAACAATAATTAAAATACAATATCGAGTATATTAATAGAATATTATAGATAATTAAGGTCAAGCATTAATTTAACCGTTCAATAGCAGCAGCAAATATTGGAATACGCATTAGTTGGGTGCCCATGCCAGCCCACTGTGATCCCATTCCACTGTAAACGAACCACAGAGGTCTTTTTGCGTTGTCAAAATAGTCCACTTTTTCACATAGGCTTATTGTCTGCTGGTCCGCATTGGTATCTGTAAAAATAATAAATTCAATCAAATTTTATGTTTCTGCACGCTTAATTACTGTTATCCCATAAGATTTTTAGTAATGTTGGCATTACGAACGAAAGTCGATACAACATTATATAACAACTAGGTACAGCTTGAAAATCTTCACTTCTCGAAATGGGAAGAACCCATCTCCATTGTAGTTAAGATATTTTTAATTTCTCAGATATACGGTTTTATAAACTTAAGCTATATTCCTTATTCCGAGCACATGGTAAATTAGCACTTAAGAACTCAATTGGCAATTTTATTGTCGCCATTGGAATTTGAATTCGGGGTACTTATATTATGTGAAATTTACTAACATGCATTAATCACACCCTGTGGTAAGTGACCACCTACGCCGCCTATGAACATCCTTAACAACAACCAACTTGCGGCTTAATCTTTTAGAAAAAATGAAGCTATGGACTTGGAACGGATACTTTTCTTTAGCCACTTGCCCCATGAGCTGCAGTAGCTGAGGCATCAGGCGGACTATTAATTCGCTTGTCACTTCAATTTAATTTAAAAACAATTTATTCGGTTATTCCTTCATTTCTCGACTTTCTGATATAATAAAATCAATTATTATGCTATTATGTTTGAATTTAAACGTGGCTGAACTAAAATAATAAAGACAGAATTGATAAACACACCTAATATAGTAAATCCCCTGCCCACATGACCAGAAATTTTTGACTGATGAATGTTGTGCAATAACGCAAGCTCTTCGGGATCGATGGGTCGGGACTTTAAGTCGTCTAGAACTTTCTTAACCGATGAATCTTGTCGCGCAGAAATTGCAACTAAGTGCGGTATGTTAGACTTATATCGAGATAAATCCTGTAGAGAAGATCAAGTTCGTATAATGTGTCTAATATTATTAAATAAAACTATTCTAATTTTAATTATAGGATACATTAGAGTTAGTAGAGTAATGGTGGTATTGGAGTGGATATTCTTCTTATAACTCATATTTTAATTATAGGATACATTAGAGTTAGTAGAGTAATGGTGGTATTGGAGTGGATATTCTTCCTATAACTCATATTTTAATTATAGGATACATTAGAGTTAGTAGAGTAATGGTGGTATTGGAGTGGATATTCTTCTTATAACTCATATTTTAATTATAGGATACATTAGAGTTAGTAGAGTAATGGTGGTATTGGAGTGGATATTCTTCTTATAACTCATATTTTAATTATAGGATACATTAGAGTTAGTAGAGTAATGGTGGTATTGGAGTGGATATTCTTCTTATAACTCATATTTTAATCATAGGATACATTAGAGTTAGTAGAGTAATGGTGGTATTGGAGTGGATATTCTTCTTATAACTCATATTTTAATCATAGGATACATTAGAGTTAGTAGAGTAATGGTGGTATTGGAGTGGATATTCTTCTTATAACTCATATTTTAATCATAGGATACATTAGAGTTAGTAGAGTAATGGTGGTATTGGAGTGGATATTCTTCTTATAACTCATATTTTAATCATAGGATACATTAGAGTTAGTAGAGTAATGGTGGTATAGGAGTGGATATTCTTCTTATAACTCATATTTTAATTATAGGATACATTAGAGTTAGTAGAGTAATGGTGGTATTGGAGTGGATATTCTTCTTATAACTCATATTTTCCCGTGGGTGCCATAAGAGGCGTCAGGGTGAAAAAAACGTAGAGAGGATGGACAACAGCAACTTTTGATAAGCAGTGATGAATTAAGGTTTAATAAGTGTTTGTAAATGTAAAGACACTGTGCCAGCTCCTTTTTATACATACTTTTGAATAACACGACTAACATAAACTGAACGTAGTTCTTTCTCACAGGCAATATTTACTATAATTGACCCGCTTGTCGAACTGATTGCTGATCGCAGCAGCCTCAGACTTTTCAAACTTAGTTTTGGTAGCGTCAAGCTTTTATATTAGTTTGTTCTAAAACAATAGGTTGCAATGCGCCATCACAAATGTATAAAATGAACCTAGTACATTCTGATATTAAATTGAATAATTGATCAACACTCAAACATTTTCAACAATATTATACTCATATATCAATGCTCAAACATTATACAATTTACATACTAGAGGACAGTTTACGACAGTAAAACGGCTAAACACGTAGGTACTCGGATAAAAGTCATGTATTGAAATGTGAGCTTTATGTTATATTATATGATATAGATCCTTTATCAAAATTAAACTTAAAGGTTCACGTCGAAAAGTACTCTATTTAAATTTTCAATTGTTATATTGTGCGACGACCGCTGGAGCCACAGGTTTTTTTTAATTATAATTGTTTGTGGTATATTGATTACCTTAGGTTTATAATGACCATGTAAGAGTGTATGGGAATTGATTCCAGTAATAGATAAGCCATTAACGGCAGTATAAGTACGATCAAATGGTTGGTGCTCAGTAACGATGCGCATGCGTCCTTCACGCAACGCCTCAATGTCTCGTCTTGGCGTTTCACAGTATAGGTTTGCCGCCAACTCGCCTCTGTGATACCCCAGAAGAACCTAAAAGCGAATTACAAAATTTAACTAGCACATTCGTAACGACACGTTAATAAAGATTAGGTACTGGATATTTTTCTAAATTTTTAAAAGTATTGCTGATATGTATTAAAAGTGTAAATTCTACGTCATATATTACAATATTACGCAAAGTTTGTACTATTTTCAGTGTTTCATCTGAGAGCTAAGCCATCTATGTATTATTAATATTATTATTTTTAAATTAGGTTAAGGTTTACGTGCATATTTAGTAACTTGAAGAATATAAAGAACTGCCCTTTATTAAACAAAAATTTAAGTCTATTTTACCTTTATAACGGCAGAAATTCCAGATGCGGCTTCACCATATCCAATATTAGACATAACACTACCGACAAGAAGTTGTTTTTTTCTATCGTTGCAAAATACAGCATCAATCGAATCTAATTCACTTTTATCAGCCTCGGGTAAAGCTGTAGCAGAGAATTTATTTTAAAAAGAGTATTATTTGACATTTAAAAGACTGATATTTTTTGTAAATGTTATTTTTGTATATATAGATTATATATACCTGAACCAAAAGCTTCAACGTATTCAACTGCCTGTGGTGAAACTTTTGCTTCTTTGTAAAAGTTTTTTAAAAATGCAGACAATTTTATAGGATCGCGACAGAATCCAAATCTTGGACCCGTTTTGTTTTCCATAAGGCGTTGATACTCGCATTTTACGTGGACGACGTCGGCGTAGACTCTATAAGAAATATTTGTATTGGTAGTTTTAATACGTATGAATAGTAACTTGAATATTGATATAGAGATAGAAATAGAGCGTCTGCAGCGTCTTATGGCTGCATCGCAAATATAAGTGATTGACCGGATAAATAACTCGCTATCACCAAAAGCCAACTAGAAATAGTGGAGATTATTTTAACTAGTTACTGGGCCACAACATTCATTAACCACCAAGTCTACACCGATCAGAGTGCATATTTTTACCCTTACTTCTATAAAAAATAAATATACATGACAAAGAACCAGCGACCCTTTGTACTTGTGACGGGGCATTCTGTATTTTGATTCTTAATCGACTAAAGATATGTGATAGTTGAAAGTTAGTTTACAATACATTTAGTGGATTTAAAATATGGACAGTGTAATTAAAAATGTACTTCTATACAAAAAGTTAAAATAAAACTAATAAGGTGTGCACCGTAAATATCAACTTTATTGCTCCAAGTGCTGCTCAAATACCAACATCATTCGAAAATAATAAATTTAAGTTCCAGACACTAGTTATGGGGGGCAAATTCACTACCTACTACCAATGGCTACAGGGCTCCTTTTTTACGTAGGAGTCCGTCTGAGCAGATACGAATTTCTTAAATGTTTCTGCTTCCAAGAATCAGTATCTGCAAGGCTGTGTTCCGATCTGATAGTATAATTACAACAATTACCAAACAAGTATATAAACATATTTTAAACATAACATTTACCTGCTTTATTTGTAGTCGATTGCAGGTGCCCATTGGCTGCGGTATGCAATTACTATCAGGTAGATTGTGACTTTATTTGTTATTTTGATATTATTTAAACAAATATAAAAGTTTTAATGTCATTCATAGGTGTACACCGTAGTAGAAAGCCACCAGTCGATAACTATCAAGGAGCAGTGCGTGCACTGCTGTGTTCTGGTCTGAATTATATAGAGAGCCAGAAAAATAACATGCTGTGAACATTTTTCTTAGTCATCAGAGCAAGCCTTTTTTTATTTGAAGATGTATGCAGATGTTTGCGGACTGCTGTAGCGATTTACCATCAGATGGCCTGTAAGTTCGTCTATCACTTTCGTATTATAAATAAAAATCACGATAGAATCAACTCTGTGATCACCAATCCAGGTACGTTGAGCCCAGTGCGATGAGTACGACCAAATCTTTCAAATGAGTAAGTATGTCAAAACTTGCGTCATTTAGCGTATTTTTAAAAAAAATGCATTTTATCTTCTTTGGTTGCATCACCACTTACCATCAGGTGGAATAGTGTTCGCTTATAAAATTAAAAAAGCTTATCCATAGCTACAGTAGCATTATACTGGCAAATAAGAAGATATTTAAATGCATACCACACCTTTATTAGTTTTATCTTTTAATGTTTCCATAAGGTTGATTATAAATTAATGCGTTTTATTAGGACTTACCGCAAAGCATCCTTAGCTTTTTGGAGAAACAAAACATTAATAGCTTCAGTTTTTGCACAACCAGATGCATTTTCGTCGAAAGATTTGGTTTTTCCATCCACACTAATGGTCATGGTCCTGAAATAAAATAGTTCAGCTTTTGATATCAACAGTTGTTGGGACTCTTTTACCGTCTCGATGTCAATTTAGGATCAAGAACTACTTGTCATAGGAACAAGCGAGGGGCTTAAGCCGTGGCCTGGTCGCTAACGTAAACAAAGTGGAACCTTTTGGGCTGACTTGAGGGGCAGAGGAAGCCTGAAGTGGCCATATATCAGAGGTAGTGAAGTAGGCTGAATATGTATTGGTGGAGTACAGTAGGTACTTGTATCCTTTCACAGAGCCGTCGCAGCCAAGGGGGAACTCGCTCTCTCATACGTGAACATCATTGTCTCTGGCCCCATGGTCACCACGTATTGGAGTCAGGGAGGTCCGTTGCGCAGGTGGGGTAGAGATCGTATATTAAGGCGCGCCTTGCCGGCACGTTTTCCCTTAAATAAATGATGAGAAGGCGTTGTCCTCTCCCAAAAAGCGTCACCAAGACGTGACTGATACTGATAGGGGTACGTGTGAGTGTTCTCGTAGCCCAGCTTATAAAAAGTGGATGTGAAACACCAGGATGTTTTATTTTCAAGTTCGACATAATACTTGGCCCTAAGAAGTAGGTTTGGGTAAGCATTTCCCCCGTGGAAAATTAGAAACGAACTTAGCCCATTTTCCTGTCAAGCTACCTTGTAAGCTCGTTGTCTAGTATATTTCTGCAAACTCTCTTACCAAAGCACCTAGTGATAATGATGTGTCGATTTTTAAGTTAATTCAATTATAATAAATAACCTTCCAGAATGCACCGATGACTGAGGATGCAAACAAACATTTCCGCCACCAACAATGGCTGCTTCACAATCTCCACGGGTCATTGCAAGGTAAGCTAGTTCCAGAGCCGTTATAGAGCTGCAGCAGCACGAGTCGATATTAATCGATGGCCCCTTGATATTCAGCCAGTAGGATATGCGATTTGCGAACATTGATTTATTGCATCTGAAATCATTATATTTATGCTGTTTGATTTTTTGCCATCTGTAAAAAATAGGGTGTAACAGGTGAATGGAATAGAAGCCTATGGCAATGACATTTTATATTTTTTTTACATTAACATATTATTAAATTAAATTAAATACTACTAATTTGAAATAAACTTTCGGTACTAAAAATTTTGAACTAAATAAATAAATCATTTAAAACTAAAGAAATTAAAATAATATGCACCCAGTACTAAGTAGTATATTTTGATACATCAATACCATAATATTTTAATGTAAAAGAAAAAAAATCAGTGCCATAGGCTTCTATTCCATTCACTAGCTACATCATGTTTTTTTCAGATGGTAAAAAATCATTCACTATGTACATTCCTTATTTTTAATAGAATAAGCAGTAGGGTCCAGTTTGAACACATCGGTCGAAGTTAACCATTGTACAAACACAAATAGTTACGTTACGTTTAGTTGATACGACCTAGGGACCTTCAAGAAAAGCGCTTACTCCTTTCTAAAGGGCCGGCAACGCACCTGCAATTCCCCTGGTGTTGCGGTTGAACAAGGGCGGCGCGGCGGTAGTCACCTAACATCAGGTGAGCTGCATGCTCGTTTGCCGCCTCTTCTATAAAAAAAATTCGGGTCTGATTGAGATACGATTGATGTCTGTGTTTCTAATACTGAATCGTAAACCTGCTCATGATTTTTCTTTAGTAAGAGATATGTATGTTCAGCGGTGATTTTTGATAGACTGTAACAGATTACAGCCTATCAAAAGTCCACTGCTGAACATAGATTGCTTCATAGCCATAGTTGCCACGCTTGGCGGGCGGGTTGGCCGGCTATTCCGTTTATCCACCCTCAAAGACCCACACCAGGGTTGATATTAGGAATAGTATACGAAATCATCGAAATAATATACGAATTAGTGCGAAGAATCTTCGGGAGGAAAACCGGCGACGAGGCTCGCCACCCGTCACGTTCTGTCTCCCGGAGGGGCGAAAAGTGGATTGCAGAGGCCCGTCTGGCTACGTTGAATGTATGTGGAGCAAATAATGATAAAATGGATGAAGTATGCGAGGTGATGTATGATAGAGGAATAGATTTGTTATGTGTGAATGAGACGAAACGGAAGGGGAAGGATGTTACTACACATGGCATGTATACCGCATACTGGTCTGGTGTAGACGAGCTCGAGCGGGCATGCCAGGGAGTAGGTATCATCCTATCAGAAAGAATGGTGCAATGTGTGAAAGACTGCTATGGATACGATTGAAAGTGGGCTTAAAGAAGTTGTTTGTGCCAGGGGTCTACGCCCCAGACATGTCTAAGCCCACTCATATCCGAGAGCAGTTTTGGGAAATGGTAAGGATGGTATTAATGAGATTTTAATGGAAGAGTTGGGGTGAGGAGGCTTGGTTATGAAAGGATATTGGGAAAGTTTGGTGATGAAAGTATAAAAGAGAATGGTGAAAGGCTTCTCACTGTATGTATGGAAAAGAATCTTTTTGTGACGAACACTTTCTTTCGCCACAAGAGGATTCACATGTACACTTGGGAAAGAGGTGATGATAGAATCATGATAGATTTCATAATTGTGGATGAAAGATTGAGGGGCGCAGTGGTGGATACAAGGGTTTACCGGGGGTCAAACGTAGGAACGGATCATTTTTGGTTTTATGCCGAATTAATGGTCTATTCAGGCGGTGGCGCCATCGGTCATCTGTGTCTACTACTGCGTTACAGCGTATTAGAACAGAAAGATTACAAGATGAAGGTGAGAAAACAAGTTTAAATGTAGACTGAAAGAAAACGTAAGTGGTTTGGATGAATTATGTATGAATGAGTTAGACTTGGAGAATGTATGGCAAAACGTTAAGAAAGGTTTAGTAGATGCAGCTACCGAAGTACGTGGTGTTAGTAAAAGAAAGAATGAAAGGAAAAATAATACGTTATGGTGGGATGATGAGATACGTACGGAAGTTGAAGCAAAGAAGAGAGCATGGCTAGATTTACTAGCAACTAAGGCTGGTAATTCTAGCGGTACGAATGATGATTTTAAAAGTAAAAAAGGCAGTCTTTAGACATCTAATTAAAAGAGCAAAAGAAGTAGTTGAAAGGAAAAAGCAAGAAAGAACGGATAAGAATGATAGAAGAATATCGGATAATTTTCAGGCAAATATTAAAATGTTCTGGAAACTCGTAAGAACTGCCAGGGGATGTTCAAAACAGCCTATATTGAATGCTGCCTATATTGAATAAGAGATGAGAATGGCTATATTCTGAATGATGAAGTTTTGAGTTTAAAGAGATGGAAGGAATATTTTGAAAGCATGTTTATGAGTGAGGAGACAACGTATGAACTGAATGAAATAAGAACTCCGAAAGAAGAGGAAGGAGGTAGCGAGATAAGTATAGATGAAATAATGAAAGCAATGAAAAGCATGAAAGCAGGTAAGGCTGCCGGATATGATAGAGTTTCACTCGAAATGCTAAGGGCTGGAGAGGAAGTGGTGGCAGGCCTGCTGCACACCTTGTTTAACTTATGCTGGGAACTAAAGCGGGCACCGGGAGACTGGTGCAAAGCCGTGATAGTCCCGGTATATAAGGGAAAAGGGTCGCAGCAGGACTGTAAAAACTACCGCGGTATCAGCCTTCTTAGCATCGTGGGAAAACTGTATGCCAAGGTATTAATTGAAAGGGTCATGAAAGAAACCGATGGAAAAATTTGGGATGTGCAAGCGGGATTTAGAAAGGGAATGGGATGTACAGATCAAGTCTTCTCCATGCGCATGATCGCGGAGAAGTTTTTGGCCAAAAACCAAAAGGTTTTTTGTGCGTTCATGGACTTGGAGAAGGCCTATGACAGAGTGGATAGGAATGGGCTATGGCAAACACTGAACTCATTTGGGTTGAGCACTGGCTTGATACAGGCATTGGAATCTCTTTATAGGGACTCTAGTGCTTGTGTTAGGATCAACGGGATCTACTCGGACTGGTTTGGCATCCATAAAGGTGTCAGACGGGGCTGTGTGGCTTCCCCGTGGTTGTTCAACCTATTTATGGACAGTTGTTTGCAAAATTCGAAAGTTGAAGAATGCGGATTAAGAATGGGTGAGTTAACCATCAAATGCCTTTGTACGCCGATGATCAAGTTATTCTTGCGTCGTCGGCGGCTGAGTTGCAAATGATGGTTACATTAATGAACAGATCATTAAAAGAAAGGGGTATGAAAGTGAACGCAAGTAAGACGAAAATTATGGTTTTTGAAAGAGATGAAAGTAAAACGATATGTGAAATAAGAATAGTAGGGGAGTTGATCGAGCAAGTAGATGAGTTTGTATATTTGGGTTGCGTATTTAGCAGGGATGGGAGATATGATAAGGATATAGAACGACGAGTGAACGCAGGAAACAGAGTAAATGGGGTCCTGCACTCTATTGTGAAGAGTCAAAATGTGTCAAAAAAGGCACGTATGGCAATTCACAATGCTGTGTTGGTTCCTACTTTAACGTATGGTAGTGAAAGTTGGGTATGGCAGATGAAGCACGAGAGTAGAATAAATGCAGTAGAAATGCGGTCGTTAAGGAGTATGTTAGGGCTGAATCTGAATGACAGGGTGAAAAATTGTGTGATAAGAGAAGAGTGTGGTTTGCAAGATGATGTTGTGACCAGGATTAAGAAAGGAATGCTTCGGTGGTTTGGTCATGTGGAAAGAATGGATGAGGAAAGTGTGACTAAGAAAATTTATGTTGCAAAAGTGAATGGCAGAGTCGGAAAGGGACGTCCTAGGCGAAAATTTATCGACCAAATTGGCGATCTATTGAAAACGGGCCAAATTAGGAGTATCCTTAACCGACGAGCATGCATGCGTAGGTGTATGGATGTGAAGGAGGCGAGAGAGGTGTGTCAGGATCGTGCCAAATGGAAGTCTGTAGTCTTTGCCTACCCCTCTGGGTGACAGGCGTGAGTGTTTATGTAATATACGAATTACGTTTATGCACTTATCCACCCCTTTTGGGGTGGATAGATTAATAATTTTCTCCCTCGGCTGCGTACAGTAATTTATAGAAACATGATATAAACTGACCCAAGATACTTGATAAACACTAGCATACCTATAACATATGTAAATATTGATATGTTGAACAAGAAGTGTTTGAAAGGTCAACGTTGAATAAAAGTAGAGCGTCACATGATTACAGATTCATTGGTATCTTGGCATTATTCAATTTAAAATGATGCTAAAGACAAAGATACAAAAGTAACTTTTTTGGAATGAAATGCACAAAGAACTTTAGAAAACGATTGTAAATGTACATTAAAAGTGAAGAATTTATCCAGGATATCAAATTGTGTCAGCTCAATAATGAAATTAGTGTTAGTTATTTCCTGAAAATATGCGTTATTTATAATTTGCATAGTAATATTATTTAAAACCATGAAACTTGGCTTTATTTAAATGCAATACGAAATGAATGGGCTTTAAAAATATGTAATGATAACGGTAAAGGCAATACGTAATATAATTTTAGTTTAAGTTTGTGGTTATTAAAAATTAATTAATTATCAAAGTGTATGAGTATATTTATTGTTGAACTGTACTTGGTGCAGAAAGTCGGAAAAACAAATAAAAGTGAATTCCAATTATCCATCCTAGGGCGACTTTTTATGGATGGTAAGCGGAATAGCCCACGTTGGCAACCGCATTTATTTAAGTCGTTATTAGGAAGACATTGTTGCCCATCTCATGTTTTCTTTCCCTTTGTCACTTGTTACGACACCAGGGACGACATGAGAATGACTGCCGTTAATTGGTTAACACCGCCACTACTAAATCTATTGCATTTTTCTTATAAACATTACATTAGGTACACAGAAGCGCTCGCATTTACATTTTGTATGATTGTGTTATTTCATCCTTAGTAAGAGACAGAGAGCGACAACTTAATAGCGAAGTTACACCACGCCATGGAACCTACACTGTTGTCACAAACTGATAAACGCGTCTACGTAGGTCGTATCACGTTCCGTTTTACGCATTTCGCCACGTTGAAGTTTTTTTCACTCGTTGAGAACAATGCCTGAGCGTCAGGGTATTTAACTCAGGTTTATAACGCGTGCCTTGAAGACACCTACATTGTAATCAGATGCAGATGCTAAGGAATTATTCCATTAGATTAGTTAGACAGTATGTGGTAGTATGTAGTGCTTCCGATTCTTCAAAAGTTGTCAACATAGTTGGTAAGTGGCACGATTTACATAACAACATCATATCAATGTCTTCATTACACAAATGAAATATTATTAAAACAAGTTTTTTAATCTAATTATTTTTATATCCTTACGTTTGACGGCGGCGCAAGAAAATCCATCGCTCCTGGGTGTCATATGGGGCGACATTAGAAAAGTTAGAAAGATAAGATTCTGCTTATGTGTCCACTATTTTGTAAATACTGTAACTGTAATAACTGTAATATGGGGCGATATTCAAAGCAATATTTTTTTTACAAACGTGCCAGTGACTCACCTCATAGTAAGTAACAACCGTCGCCGCCCATGGACAACTGCAACACGAGGAAAATCGCAAGAATACACTATTTATTATATAAAAAAAATAACTATATTACCCAGCGATACCGAATCCATTTGAAACGTTTGCTACGTAGAAGCAAGACTTTTCAGTTTCAGAAAAACAAGTGCCTATGTACACTCCCACTTTCTTTCCCCAAAAATGTTCCGGGTTTACACCTAAACAAAAGATAATAACATAATTAGTACACTGTCAACTCTTGTTGTTTATTGCCAAATTCGAAACGCCAGACAAAACTCTTGAGATATTTGAAAAATTTAATAATATTCCTGTAATTCTTTTTTTAGAAAAATAAATTGATCTTATTTTTTTTTTGTTGTTGAACGCATTGATATTGGTCTAGTGGCCTACAGTATCGTTGGTCTAGTGGTCATAAGCGTGCTTGCTAATCATGAGGTCCTGGGTTCAATTATCGGTTGAGCCAAAATTAGTTATTGCATGTTTCTCTCAAGAAATTTTCAGTAGTAGGCTGGGGTCAGGATGATGGTGTTTTCACCTCCGTGCCTGCGTCTGATCTCTCTCTGGTTGTGTCGGATTACCTTACTGAACTTCACATTACTAAGCTGTAACATAAGAAGATATACATCACAATTTTACTGACTTCTTAATGGTTCTCTCGAGACTTGCAGAAGAATTTGACGCTATTAATCTACCTGAGTGTTTTTAAATGAAGGAGCAGTCCTACCACAAAATTCCAGGCTACAAATCGTTTCCTATTAATAAATTTATACATAAAAATCGCAGTGTCGTTACGTACATAAAAGACGCATGGAATGTTTCTGTATTGGAACCTACATTGGGTGTTGCAAATTGTCTGCAAAAAGCAGTAGAAAATACACTTACACTTCTTGGGATTTATTGATCTCCTTCGTTCAATAATCCGGACCGTTCACTTGATTCTGCAACTCATTACAACACATTAAAGTTCCTATTACTATTATTGTAGTTGGTGACATTAATATAAACCTGTTACCTAACGAATTAGATTCTCATCGATTTGGCTATCTCTGTTTAATGACTAGCTATGGTTTCATACCGGCTATAACCATACCCACGAGAAACAACTCTTGTCTAGATCACATCTTTACTAATTGTACAAAACGAGCAATCGGTATAGTCTGTGACTCTACATTAACTGATTACAAATTAACAATGATAGGCTTAGGGTTGCCTAATATGGAACCAACTAAGATTAGCAAAGTAAGATTTTCACTGATTTTGATGGGGTTTTTACGCATTTGAAAAACGGAGAGTGGTCATTAATTACTGATGGCGGTGACGTTAATGATGCGGTGAATAGCATGCGTAACCTCATTGAAACGTCGATGCGCTTACACACTCGTCGAGGTAGGATTAGTCGCTCAAAACTCAATTTCAGGCCTTGGATAACTCCTGGCCTAACGAGATGCATGCGTCATCGCAACGGTTTTAACGCATGTGTCGAGTAAAAAAGAACCCAAATGATCGTTTCAGAACTAATGTACAAAGGGTACCGTAATGTATGCAATGTACTATTACCTGGAGTCAAAACTAACTATAGAAATTCAGAACTTCTTAAACATAATAGAAACCTTAAAAAACTCTAGCAATGTATAAAGAACATTTGTGAGATACGCAAAGTTAATACTGATGCCAGCGAACTCACAAAAATTAAGGAAGACCCGCGAGACTCATTAAACGAATGTAATTAATACTTCTCCACAAAAGGTAAAAAATTTGCTGATAAAATCCTAAATATACTCATCGTTTAAAAAAGAGCAGTTAACATACCCGCATCGTATATAGCTTGGTATGCTAGTTCAAGAACCTTGCGAGCTACCGGGTCCATTTTATGTCCCAGACGATAGTGCACTTTAAAGAACTGGGCATCAAACAGTTCCAAATCTGGTATTCGGCCAGCATATTGCGCTACTTCAGGGTGATTGCATTTCCACCGTGGATTCGATGAAACAGGATTTTTCTGGACAAAATCGGGATATATTTTAAAATATCTACAGCGCAAACATTAAGCAATAAAATTCTAATATATCAACATTAAGAATATCTAAATAAACCAGCTCACACCACCTGATGGTAGGTGGACGCTGTGGCCCACAAACATCTATATTTATTATCATAAAAATCGAGATGCAGATGCGTTGTCACTTCTGAGAACTAAGATGGAATACCTCATTTCTAGTTGAAAGGATATCTAGTTCTCTACACTTACCATACGAAGCACAGTAGCATTAAGTTGCTATTTTATGCTGGTATTTTGGGACAGCGTGGTCCTACCACGGCCGAGCCGACCATTTCGTGCTACACCCAAAATATAGCTGCACCGTGGCTCTACCACGTAAAATTTCATATTAGTAAATTATAAGTTACTAAATAACAATTATTATGAGTTTTGTAATATACAGTAACTGGCGTATTTTTGATAATCGCTACGACTCCTTTATAGTGCATGGTTTCTGCGAAATGTCACGCAAAAGCGTAAAACCCCTCCTTTTTTAGTTTATAGTCGATATTGCGGCCAGGAGACATTTACATCTATCCTCGGCCCAAGATGGACGCCTCTTTTCTGGTAAAAAAGTTTCCCCGGGCTCGAATGCGAAACATAGCACTATTAAGCTATTACTACACGCGCCAACTTATTTGCGCTACAATCATAACTGCAGAATGACTCTATCCTGTAAATATAAAATTGAAACCCGAAATCAAAGAACTAGCAAGAATAATTTATTTTCACGTCTTGTGTTCGGAGTTTTAATTATTCTATTAATTATATCTTACCACTGACTTCAGGATTTGAAATTTTTATTCGAAAATAACGGCTAATTTTAATATTTTTACGACTCAAAATATTAAAATAATATCTTAGTCCTCAGGAGTGAACTCGCATCTGCATTTGATTACTAAACGAGGGTAGAAGTAGATGTCTATAGGCCTATGCACTTACCATGTGGTGGACCATGTGTCGTTTGTCAACTATATAGACACTATACAAAATTAAATGTTATATATTTTACCCTTTTGTGGACTAAGTAGTATGACAATTTGATTGTCATCTAAATAGTTACACTAAAATATTTAACCCCTATTTTGCTATCCTTAGTAGTGAATTTTTTCTTTATTAATTTTGATCCATTCCATAAGTATAACAATTTAATTAAATAAAAAGAATAATCAATATCGGTTCACTTTTGACGATTTTATATAATAACTTACCTTGCTATATAAAATGTCAGCAAGATCCTTTACATGTTTGGAATCGGGAAAAAGACCTGACATCCCGGAAATAACAACCGTTTCTTCGGGTTTGAGGTACTCCTTCCCTTCGCGCTGAGTTACTCCTAGTTCTTGAGGTGTCGGTACCATTTTATCTGTAAAAATGGAGCATGTAAGTATTACACGAACTTTTCTTTGAAGGTGAAGGTAGCTCTTTAGGTACTCGTCATCAATTTCATAATACGCAAGCAACTTGGGTTCGACCCCCACTCCAAAAAACCAAATTTTAATTGTAATTATTAGTGCTGACTTATTCTCGTGCTCGGTTGTAAAGAAAATGATGAGGAATAAAATATTAAGCAGACATATTAAGTTTGCCAATACGCACTTAAACAGGGCGAGGCATTTATTGTATGTACAACATGTCTTGTAAATCAACATTTAAAAAACTGGTTTTCTAGCTAGATCCTCCCAGGATAGAGGCATTTTGCGAACCAGTGTTTAAAGCAAAAATGACTTTCAATAAGTATTCTATTATGTATATATCATTAAAACTAAGCTAAAAGAACTTAGGGAAAAGACAAGGAAACTATTTAATAGGGCTAAGAAAACCAAAGAAATTGGGAAAGCCAAGAGAACATCGTGGCTATGCGAGGAAGTTGAGTCTTTGCCTCGCAGTGCAAGACTACTCAAAATGCTATCGAAAGCTTAACCTAATCAGATCGGGCTTCTTAAAAAGCCTGATGGTACTTCACTAATAGTGAAACAGAAACATTGGAGTTACTAGCGTCAACCCATTTCCCAACAAGACTTCAGCCTTAAATTCTTTCCGAGCCCTACGAAGGCCTTGTAATGAGGATTGGTGTAGGGCTGCAAAGATAATAAGGCCAAACTTGGTGCAGTGGGCTGTTGACTCCTTTAAACCATTTAAAACAAGCGGGGAGGATGGAATAATTCCCATCCAACTGCAGAGGGGTATACATTGTCAGAGGGGCATATATTGACATCCTTCTTCCCTATCTGGTGAAAATCTTCAGAGCAAGTTTTGCCTGGGGATATATTCCGGAACGATGAACAATTGTCAAAGTTCTATTTATACCTAAGGCTGGTAGAAAGTACTACGCTTTACCAAAGTCTTTTAGACCTATAAACTTATCTTCCTTTCTTCTTAAGACATTGGAAAAGTTTATGGATAGATATATAAGGGATGTAGCTCCAGCTACGAGGCCCATACATTACAACCAGCATGCTTACCGCAGACGCAAATCTACGGAAACAACTTTGATCACACTGAAGCACTGGAGGATAAAGAAATAGCTCTTTGTGCCTTTCTAGATATTGAGGGCGTGTTCGACAGTAGCCCCACATTACTGCTGATTGGGGGCCTGACATCTAAAAATTTTGACCCCAGAACCATCAGATGGGTGAAGTCGATGCTTTCAAACAGAAAGGCAAATATACGAAGGTGGATTGAAAAGTACTCGGCCTAACACAGATCCATTCAATTCTAAAAATCAAATCTACCAACATTATTTAGTTCAGTTCAGACTAGTTCATTGTGTGAAGTTCGAAACGTGTGCGATAATTAGTTGTGATTTTATAAATTTATTAACAAAGTAATCGGACATAATTTCCGCGAATGAAGCAAATCGAGCAGCGTGCCGTCATTAAGTACCTCCATAAGAAGGAGCTATCATCAAAAGCCATCCATGATGACATGGTCAGTACATTAGGCGATTGTGCTCTGTCATATTCATCCGTCAAAAAATGGATAGCAGAATTTAAGCGTAGTAGAGAGAGTGTGAAAGATGAACCCCGCTCTGGAAGGCCTTCGACGTCAACTACTGACGAAAATATTAAAAAAGTACTTGATTTAATAATGGGAGACCGCAGATTAAAAATTAGAGAGATAGCCGAGATTATAGGCATCTCTTATGAACGAACTCAAAACATCATTGTCAACGAGTTGGGTTTCCACAAGGTGTCTGCGAGGTGGGTTCCGCGACTGCTTTCAGTTGAACAAAAAAGGACGCGATTGACTATTTCACGCGACGTTTGGAGTTATTTGAAGCCGATGGAGATGATTTTTTTGAATCGTTTTGTTACTATGGACGAGACATGGGTTCATTACTGTACACCGGAAACAAAACAACAATCAAAACAGTGGAGAAGACCTGGTTCACCACCCCCTAAAAAAGGCTAAGTCGATTTTGTCGGCAAATAAGGTGATGGCTTCAGTATTCTGGGACTCGAAAGGTGTGATTATGATTGATTATCTTGCAAGGGGTCAGACTATAAACTCTGATTACTACTGCACCTTACTACGTCGTTTACGAGAGGAAATAAAAGAAAAACGTCGAGGAATGCTCAGAAGAAAAGTCCTGTTTCATCAAGATAACGCCCGTGTTCACACGTCAGTACAGTCAATGGCTGAAATTCACAACTGTGGCTTTGAACTGTTACCGCATCCGCCGTATTCACCTGATCTGGCACCATCAGACTTCTTTCTGTTCCCTAACCTAAAAAAGCACTTGGGAGGTCAAAGATTTTCGACAAACGACGAGGTCAAAGCAGCTGTAGACGCATATTTTGACTCTAAGGAAGAATCATTTTTTTTCAACGGTCTAAATGCTTGGAAGGGGAGGTGGCAAAAGTGTATTGAACTTGATGGTGATTATGTAGAAAAATAAAAATATAACTGATTTAGTATGTGTTTATTTTCTTGGTTAGGCCGAGTACTTTTCAATCCACTCTCGTAGCGCTGTTTCAAACTTCGATTGAGGTTGTAACTACAAGAGGCTGCCCACAAGGAGGTGTTTTTTCACCCCTTCTTTGGACTCTTGCGGTTGACCAACTATTGTACAAAATGGCAGACCTACTTATTGACACACTAGGTTATGCTGATAACCTTGTGATCATTGCGAGGGGCTTTTGCCAAAGTACTTTATCGTCAATAATACAAATAGCCCTAAACATCGTAAATAACTGGTGTAGGGATAACAGTTTATCTGTTAATGCCGATAAAACTGTTATAATACACTTTACCAAAAAGAGACGGTTGGACAAATTAATCCCACCACAATTCAATGGTAAAGAAGCACCATTTCCCACTGAAGTTAAGTACTTGGGCGTAACAATCGACCAAAAACTTCGATGAAATATTTTTTTATGTTTTCTCAGATATGCAGGTTTCCTTACGAGGTTCTCCAATGTTTCACGTTGGATCGAACCCGGGTCCTGTGAGCGAGCGCATTAGCCCCTGAGCAACCAATGCACTGTAATTCTTAATTGAGGACAAACGTGTCTATGAACCTCGGCACCCACGTACCAACAGGTGGACTGGTTTCTAATGAAAATGATACATATAATATACAGGGTTAATTTTCAAAGATTTGTCAAATATTAAACTTAAGTTCAAATATATAAATAATTGTATACCGTTCTTGAAGTTTTTGAAAATACGGGTAAATAAGGCTTCTACTTTTATTTGAAATTATTCCAAATTTAATGTGATTTAACATTTTTGTCTACCGATCGACCCTTACGAATGTTGCGTGTGCAGTAAAATCTGTTAAAATAACGCATTTTAAATTAAAAAGATAAAAAAGAAAGAATGATTGAAATTTATTTTAACTTTTCTTCGCCGTTTGCCTACATTACTTATTCTGAACTTTCTTTGCAAATTCCATCTGTTATTGCAAAATAATCCTATATACATCAGGAAGAAATAAATTCTGGAAGGTTTCTTTGCAATGCAGTTCAGTGCGATTGGCAAACTTAACAAGTTCTCAAAACATACTTTAAATGTTTCCGAAATTTCGTTTGTCCACAATTTTTTCTTTTCTGCTGAGCACATGGTAGAAGCTCACAATAAGGCATCCATCCGTTACTGCCATGTCCACTGCTGAACATAGGCCTGCCCTATAGAACACCACATAGGTAGGATTTTGCTATAGTTGCCACGCTTAGCAGGTGGATTGGGAACTGCAATTATTTATATCTTTGAGTTGTAATCAGGAATATGCTGCTGCCCATGTCGTAGGTTTCCTTCTTTTGTTTCTTACGTTACTGACGTGAAACTACTACTCATATCGTGGATATTCTTACACCAATACTACATCATTAAGATAGGTTAGGGCTCCTGAACTATTAATATTGAAGCTTAATTTATCCCTATATATAAAATCAATTCCTGCCCGTTGGTCTCGCTAAAACTCTAAAATTGCTCAATTGATTTCGATGAAATGTTTGTGTGTGTTTGAATCGTTTAAATTGTTTGAATCGTTTCAATGAAATTTTTGCGTTTGGTTGAAACTTTTAGATACACGCCGGTATGTAGCGCTGTTGTCGAAATCCAGAAATCACCCGTGTGAAACCGGAGCGGATAGCTAGACTTAAATAAAATATAATGAAATCTATTTTAATATACAAAATGAGAGAAGAGTATATCTCAGCAGTGGACACGTCATGCTATAACTTTATTAATTTTTAAAAATACGAGTACATGGTAGCTATGATTAAGATATCGAATAAAGTAAAGACATTCAAGGCACAGATATATCTAATAATATTAACTACGAAGATTTGGAACAGAAAATAGTACACCGAGTTTAAGTCCTCTGAATATTTTTAAATTCTCAGACTTAGGTATATCACGATATTTTTCTTCACCTCTGACCACATAAAAGATAAATTTGCAGTTCAAACTACAATTAATATTTCCGATTCTTTGCGTTCAATCTGGTTTGCGTACTATAAAATTTTAGTCTTATTCCCTTACTCTATTATCGGCAATATATTTAGGCTTAAGCCCAAAGGTCTCATGCAGCTGAATTTATGGTAAGGCAAAGTTGTAATAGACAACTATAGACAAAACCTTAGAACTTATTTTAAAACTGTAGTATCTATAATCGTTAGTGCGTCTGATAGTGATCGTGTTACTTCTGAACGACTTGACAGATTCAGATATACTTATATCACACAATATATTTTTGTTTTGTGCGGATGATGATCTATATCTATACTTGTACTCAATAGGTGGTGCTGTAGTCAAGCTATTAATAAATTTCATATATATATAAACCAAAATTACTCATATTCGCAATACATAAATTACGTTAGATTAGTGCCAAAAAGAAAATCACAAAATC